CGTTAGGGTCTTAACCTCTAGCACCTATAGCTACCGCCAAGACGGCGCCGGCTTCTATAATAGGACTATTTAGGCCTAGAGCGCTTATAATAATAGTATAGAAGCTATGAGGTAGTATATAAGTTTACTAATATTATAGTAGCTACTACGCGGTATTAAGATAGTAGACGTAAGGGTAGTTAAGGAAGAAGAAAGTCGCTAGATATAGAACCTATATACTTACGTTAGGGAAAATCGTATAGACCGGGGTAGAGCCGGTCCTAAAATAGATAATAATAATAATAAACGCGGGTCGTGCGTAAGCTACCCTACTACTACTATATAACCCCTAGTCTAGAGAGTAGCTAGTCCTAAAACGGATAATAATAAAATGGGACGCGCGGTTCGTGTATAGGCTACCCTACCTTCATATAACACGACGCGGTATACCATAATATAAGGAGCCTACCTCCGCTATATAACCGCTATAATATAACTATAAGATTCTACTATCTTATGATTATATAATCTATAATACTATAATATAAGGAATCTATCTCTACTACGTAACCGCTAGAACGTAACTATAATATACTACTACGGTACGATCTAATAATCTATAACGCCGTAGTATAAAGAACCTATCTCCGCTATATAACTACTAGAACGCTACTATAAAAAGCTACTACCTTACTAGAAGGAATATATAGCCCTATAGTTATTATATAGTACGATATAAAGACCGTAAATCTAAGACCTAACCGAGCCGGTTATTATTATATAAAATACTAAGCCGGTCCCTAGGACAATCCTAGAGAATAAGGGTATATTATAGACTTCGGCTTTACCTTATCTCTAGTATTATATAACGGAGCCGGGATAGATAGAGACTAGTATAGGGGTATCACGTGACCTCGCTTAAGACTATACTTAAAGCTATAACCATACGGCTTATCCCTACTCTCTCTAAGTTAAATTATAATATATCTTAATTACTATTATAGCAATACCTTGGTTATATCCATTACAATTATCGAATATAGACTCGACGAGAACGGTATCTAAAAGTATCGAATCCGTTAGAAGAACTATACTAAGGATAAGAATACCTAGAAACCTATAGTATATATCTTAAGTACCGCGATAGCTATATATAAATAGAGATTATAGAATAACACGTTACTACCGTAAATCTAGTACCGTTAGGGCCGTTATAAAAAGAAGAAGGATACCGTAGAGAACGAAGTATTAAATTACGAATCCTAAACGCACACTAGGAAAACTCTATAAGGCAGCCCTATAATTTAAGTAATATACGGTTACTAAACGCGAAGAAAACGTAAATAACCGTTATAGGTACGCGACGTAATATATTATAATAGAATAACATAGAGAAGTCTAGAATAGACTAATATAGACTATTATATACGAGAAGAATATAGGACTAAGAAACTAAAAAGGTACCCTACTACGGAATTGAACTTATAATATATAATATAAAAGGTTAGAGTACCTAAACTAATAACTACTAGGCTACTAGTTCGGGTACTCTAATATAATTTAGAGAGATAAACTAATTTATATATAATGCCTATACTTAAGTAACTTAAAGGAAATTAGAACCTAAAATTTAATAGTTATAGAATAAATAAGAACGTATATAATATTATTAAGTTAAGAATTAAATTACTAGAAAACTAGTAGATAGATATCTAAACGGTCTAAAAAGGACTAAAACGGATAGAAACTAGGTAGATAGAGCTAATATATACTATATAGAAACCCTAGTAAATAGAGCTATAGAGCTACTCCTCTATCTTATTATTACTCTTAGAGCGTAGTAAACGAACTAACTAAGTAATAGAGTAATAGAGGTTAGAGACCTTATCCTCTAGAGTAACTACACGCTTGGTTAGAGCCTAGTAAGATAACGACTAAGCGCTAGAGCGGAGCGACTAGACCTAAAGTTAGCTAACGTAGTCTAGAATAATCTAGAATAGAATATATACCCTCTTACGAGGTAACTTAGAAGGAGAACTAGTAGATCTCTTATAAGACCCGTTAGTAGTATAAGGTAGATAGAAAGAAATAGTATAAATCTCTTCTATAGCCTTAGTAGCTAAAACCAACTCCCTAGAATAGGTAGCCTAAGTACTAGGAATCTCGTAGTAACTAAAAATTATAAGCTAAGATTAATAATAATTAACGGTTTCTAAACTTATACTTTAATAACCTCTAGAAAGAGCTTATAGCGCTCCCTAAACTCTCTATATATAGAAGCTAGATAACTACTAGAACCGCCGAGAGTCTCGCGGACGCGAAGATCATTATATATATCTTATATATAAATAGAAACCTAAAAATATATTAGTATAGATAACTTTAGATTACCCTAGACTAAAATAGTCTAATAGACTTATCTAAAGATAAACTTTACTAAGGACGGTATAGTAGCGGTAGCGGGTAGAGAGCTTAAAGATTAGGCGTATAGACCCATCGCGGTTAGTAGAGTAGTAGCTAATACTAGAGTTAGAGCGGAAGAGATATTTAGAGCCGGTAGCGTAAGCCTTAATATACTTAAAGTATATTAAACCGTAGTTTACCATTTTCCTATAGCGTAAACCGTGACTACGTTTAGTATCTTCGGCGACCTAGACCTTATTATTACTAGGGCTAGGTTTAGAGCGAATATTAAGGTCCTAAAAGGACCTAGAGCGACTAAGTCGGTCTATATTAGACCGAAAAGAGGAATAGTATTTAGAGCGAGGTAGTAAAGGCGTAAACTCTTAATTATCGTCTATAATAAGATCTTCTTTATCCTCTAAAGGAGATAGAGTAGATAGATAGCGCGAGTAGATATAGATAGGCTCTATAGCTATCTCTTCCGTAACACTAGTACTAGAATTACCTAGATTAGAGCGACTAGTAGCCACGTTAGTAGTAATAATAATAGTAGTAGTAGCCTTAGCTACCTTCTTCTCTAACTTAGAGCGCGCCTTTATACTACTATAATAAGTGGATTTTTTAGCCGGTATAGCTAGAGTAGAGATAATCCCTTTAGAGTAAGTCTTACGAGAGGAGGAGGTAGGCTTAGGAATAGAACTAGTATTAGATATCTATATATATATATTAGCTAGAGATCTAAGAGTAGAATACTTATTTAGCCTTAAAGGCAATTAAAGAAGCTAAATTAGTAACTATAATAACGCGAATAGATTATATAGGACTAGCTCTAATAAAAATAGACTACTCTAGACCCGAACGGATCTAAACTAAAGGAGATAGTATATAAATTAACGACTTACCTTAAGAGTAAGGTGGATATACTAGAGAAGAAAATTTAGAATAAGAGAACTAAATATAAGCTTAGTTAATATAGCGGTTATATAACCCGCGGAGCTACCTCTAAGGTAGTAGCTATAAAGTAAGAGATAAGCGCGTATATAAATAAAAGTAAACTAGAGCTTAAGTTTACTAATATAAAGACTATTAATAATATTATATAGATTTAATTAGATACACGTATAAACATAACGCTTATAGAATTATAGATTTATATATAGCTAAGTACTTTAGGGCGAAGTATAAAAAGAAGAAGAATATTATTAGGGCTAATACTAGAATAGACTTAACTAGACTACTATAGTCTAGTACGGTCCGTGATAGGTAGACCTAGGTTAAGCTAGCTAGAATAAGTAAGACTACTATATAAGTAGACCGTATATACTTAATTTCTACTCTTTAGAAATTAACCTCGTTAGAAGAGTAGACTACCCTTTTAAATATATTCCCGAATCCTTCTATGACCTGTTAGACTACTATCCTACGTCTATAATCCTTATATCTACCGTATATAGATTCGCAGCTTGAATTATCTTAATAAAGAAAGGGTTCTCTACCTCCTTTAGCGCGTAGTTACTATATATAATCTATTTTAGCACTTTCTTCGCGAACTTATCTATATAGTAAGCTTTAATAATAGCGTTTACGGTACTTTAACTAATACTAGGCCTATTTAGGAGTCGGTAAAGAATAGAAGGAGTATTATTAACTACTCCGTCCCGTATAATTCTATAGATAATATCTATATAATAGCCGGTAGCTAAAGTCTATTAAGTGGCGTAGTATATACCTATAAGATAAAGCTTTTTAAGATCGTGATAACGGTAGTAAACCTAGAAGATTCGACCTATTTTCTCCTTCTTAACCCTATACCTATAATACTATAGCTAGCTTAGCTTACCGTAAGATAAGAGATACTTAATAGAGATATAATATCTACGGAGACGCGTCTAATTAATTATCTTATAGCCTTTAGGTAACTTAAAGTCGAAGGTAGTATTATCTAAGTTATCTTATTAAGCACGTACTATCTTTAGAGTATTACTAGTAATAGATACTACTAGTAGTATATTTAGTAACTCTATAGCGTTAACGGAGATCGTTAACGAGAATAGAATAGAGGTAGTAGATAAGGATAGGATAGACATATTAAGATAATAATTAAGGTTCTCCGAATAGATAAAAACGCGTAGTAATTAATAGATATTAGAAATATTTAATATTAGTAGATATAGTATATATAGTATATCCGCCTAATTCGCGTCCCTAACTATAATTAACTTATAAACCTAGCCGATTTAAAGAGATTTCACGTTACCAACTAAACTTAACCCTAGAACCTATCTATATTCGCCTAATATAGATATATATAGGGCCTTAAGTTACATGTCTCTTAGTAAATAAACTCCCTTATAATATAGAGTTAGGTATATTAAGAAACTCACTACTAGAACCCTACTAAAATCGACTAGTTTAGCTATATATAGAGCCTCAAGTTATATATCCGTTAGCTTATTAAATATCTACTATCTAGGACCTATATATTTAATCTAATATAATTAATCTAGCTAATTAGATTAAGATTATACCGTCTTAGTAATTATTTTAAGTCGTAGATTAAGCTTGTATTCTCTATTAAAATTTTGGCCCAGATTGAGATTGCACAGATTCGGATTGTATATACTCACGTCTGTCTACACGCCGCCCCAGGTGCACAGGTTGGCAACCAACCCTTTACAGGACAGGTAGGTTATTACAGATCCTGACTAAACACAACGTATTCAATGCCAATAACTAAAAAAAAAAAAAAACACAGTACACCACCACTCCCGGCTTCTACACTAGATACAACTACCGGCGCACCTACAAATTCCTCGAATTCATGACGACCCGTATCCACACCAACGATGCCTACCGCAACGTCGGCATGTTCGCCGTCCTCAACGAGCCCGTCGGCGGCTATCCCACCCTAACCTCCGAATTCTACCCACACGCCTACAAAGCCATCCGCGACCGCGAGCAAGCCCTCGGCATCACCCCCAACAACTACCTGCACATCCAGTACATGGACCGCAACTGGCGCGCCGGGGACCCCAACGAAGCCCTCCCCGCCGACCGCGTCTTCGTCGCCTACGACAACCACATCTACCCGCGCTTCGACCCGGCGCTCGACACCACGCAGGAGGCATACTTGAACCGCAGCTGCAACGAGGTGCCCAACAGCGACGGCCAGGACCCGGCTATGGTGGGCGAGTGGAGCATCGATCCGACCGACGTGGTCGAGACGAGCGATGACTTTGACTACGAGGATAACAAGGACTTTTATGCGAAGTGGTGGGCGGCGCAGGTGATTAGCTATGAGAAGACGATGGGGTGGGTGTTTTGGACGTGGAAGACGCAGCGCGGGCATGATTATCGCTGGAGCTATACGCAGGCTGTTGATGCGGGTGTTATTCCGAAGGATCCCACTGATGTTTATCACATGGGCGTGTGTTGAGGTCTTTGCTGTTGTTGTCATTTGTCGCGAGGTTGAGGGGGTGTTTTTGATTGGGAAGGAGTTGATTCTTGTTTTGGTGGGGAGCTTTTGTTTCTGACTGCGTTGGTCGTTCGACTTTATTATACCCTTCGTCTTCTTGCTTAGACATTACACAGTCGTACTCACGTACACGCTAACATCTAGATTATGGTATTTAGTAATGATAATAATACATATTCTAATTTCTCTTCTCTATATTCATATACATACATCTCTACTAGACTTAATCCGTATCCACATACCCACAACTCCCTGCCCTACAGCACCATACTCCACATCCCACACCACCTTACCACTCCACTCCCACACACCACCTGCATACACCCCACACCAAACTAGAAGCGGACCGAGCCGCAAAAGCGGGGCACACAGCTTTATCATCTCCATGTCTGCACCCTACAACAACACAAGGACATACTGCAGAGGGCGGGCGGATATATGCAAGGCAAGGCAGCTAACAAGCGATAAGTAAATCGGAACATATGAACAAGCCGGGAATGGATCTAAGTCGGAGATGATGGAAGATGATCGGATCGGATCTAAGCTACGTAGGTCGGGTCCGGAGCGAGGCGCATGTGTTGTATAACGTCTCTTATCTCTCTGCGCTGTTGAAATTCCGATGGTGATCCCGATATCGCGTGTGCGTGTGCGCGTGCACGTGGTGGTTGGGTGTGTGGTGACGGGATTATTCCTCCCCTGGATCAGAGACACGCAGGGCATAGGGCACGCGGTATAAGGCACAATGCATATTATATTATGAACAGTGTTGATGACAGAGCGAGACATAGATACCTCGGGATAATGTTAATGTGAATGTGAGGTGAGGCGTGTTAGGGAAGCGAGTCGTGATTGGCAGAGCAGGGCAAAGCAGGTTGTCGGCTCGGAAGGAAAATGAATTTGGCGGCTGCTCGGCGTGTGCGGAATAAGTACTATACACTGGAAATCTACCTAATAGACCAATAGTCGGGATTGCCATACAGTTCCGTCACAGCGGTGCAATGCCTTATACCGGAATCCTGTCCTCGAGGGCGGGAATCCGTAGTGTCAGTCTCTGCGATATCATGGACCACAGTGTGGATATGGGTAGTACCAATGGGAGCACGATGGAAGTATACTAGAACTTTGTGAGTTGCGCTTGGCTTAGAAAGATTTCATTGTATACACTGAGGTAGTTGCTTCTTCGAGTCCTACTACCACTATACTATTCGTGCCACTATCACTTTTATCGTGTCCATCAGGGAACAGAGAATGGCATTTGTCCGGACTCGATCGGCGAGCTGGCTGGGACGGTGTGTGCAGACTATGGGATGTCTGACAAACACATTCTTCTTATGCGATGCGTAGGTAGGGCTCAATCTTGTTGGGACTTGGGAGCTCACTCATCAGGGAGCCCAGAGTCGCCATTTTGATTTCCTGACGGTTTCTCGGGGTTTGCATCGAGGGATGTCATCGCTGCTATCGAACACAATCGGTCGATAAGTCGTGTAAGGCCGCAATATCTGACCTGTACACGGTATGGCCGCACGTTACATTCATATGTTTGGGTCGACATCTCATTCATCCGTATACAGCACTCTGTTGTACTGTACCTGCTTCGTTTCGTGTCGGCTCCGGCTTTTCAGGTTGAGTGGTGTGCTTCTCCAGTCGCTTCCGCTCTGCCTCTTCCTCTTCCCGCCTCTTCTTCTCTTTCTTACTCAATTGCATACTGCCTTTAGCAAGCGCTTCGGCGGGTAGAGGACGAATATATGGTTGACATATGAAGTAAGGTCGTCTACACCTGCCAATAGCGTCGCTCTCGTTAAGTTTTTGGGGCTCCTTCGCCGAATCATGCTCATACTCCACGAGACCTTTTTTGACAGCCGCTTCAACCAAAGTCAACACATTCTCAAGCGAGTCCAAGTCGCCGGGCCGGTGACGAGCTAACGCATCGCGCACATTGTGATGAACGGAGACCAAGGGCCTCAGAAGGCTGAAGAGATGCGGCTGAACAGCGACCATGTTGGGATTTAGGTCTCGTGGTGCTTTTGAGCGGACGTGATCAACCTTTGCTTTCTTTCGAGGCGGACCCTCTGAGCTGGCGTCTTCCACCTTGCCGTTAATCTCCTCAACTTTGTCACTTGACGGTGCATCGGAAGGTACAAACAAGGGTAGGCGTTCTGGCGGTTCCCTTTCAAGAACATACTTGTAGAGTATGTCAATATACCTCCGCATCACAGCATCCATTCGGTAGCCACCCTTGCCATCCTTGCCTCTCCAATACTCTCGACTTTCCTGACCTATTGGAGGAGGCTCTGAGAAGATTGTTGGGTCAGATAGGTTACCCTCAGCGCTCATGATGCCGTCAACGCCAGTCTCGCGCAAGCACTGGTCTATGTTGCCATGTTGGAGTATGTTTCCATTTGCGAACATGACAGTATCAGCGGGTAACTGCTCGCGCAAGTACTTGATAACACTCCAATCTGCAAGCCCAGTGTTGTGACCTTTTTGATCTCGCTGTCGGCCGTGTACAGTGAGAATGCTGGCACCAGCCTCTATAATTGTCTTAGCGTATTCCAACGTCTTCTCCTTTGTTTCCAGAATCCTCATCTTGGCCGTGATGGGTATATCCAGGTTTGTGTTTAGCTTCCTGATCATCCTCGCGATAAGGTCCCAGTCCTCCTGTAAAAAAGCTCCATAGTGCCCCTTCTTAGCTATTCCTTGTGGACAACCCAGATTCAAGTCCACTGCGTCGCAATATGGTTGTACGTGCTGTGCAGCCGCCAATAGTATGTCAGGATCGTTTGCGCAAAATTGTACGAATAGTGGTCGATCGAACTTGGGATTCCCATCTAGGAACAGGTCATCTTCTTGCACCGGCTTCCCGTCATATGGCTCTGGAGGAGAAGGTATAGCGGTCCTTGTCGGGAGGAAATTCGTGGCCCGATACTTTGTAACTTCTGCAAATAGTCTTGCGTGCATCATCGGCGAGTATGCAAGAAGCTCGTGTTGTTTCCCGGGAGACATGAATGACCGCGTGAGCATTCGCCAGGCCTATGCGTATGAGTCCCTCGCTCTTGAATCCATGTTCGATACACTCACAAACTCCGACTGGTTGACCATCGGCGCCAAGATGTATTTGGGACTACCTAAGCTTTCGTAGAAAGCTCTTCCACGTAGTCTTGTCTTTGAAGGTTTCTCGCCATTCATGACGGCGGAGGCCCCCACGGCGTTGTTCATGACCGCTTCGAAAATCTTAGGAAATGGTAGGCAAATGTCGATGAGCGACACAGAGGCACGCCTTAAAAGGGGAATTATGGACCGTATTTTGACGGATTTGACGGCGTGCCTTAATTAGTGTTCAATGTCGGCCTACAAAAAAACTCATTTTCGAACATCGCATCGCAGTCCAACTCGATATTCAGGGTCCACTAACGCACAGACCAATTATGTACCATTCCGGAATTATCACTAGGCTCAAGACTCAAGTAAGTCAAACGCCATAAGTTATCTACTTGGCCAATTCTAGGCACCAAGATTTATTTTGCTGTTATATCAACAGTTACCTCACGCCCACTAAAGCTCCGGAACTCACTTGTATAAAGAGAGTGTGGTAGCTCAAGACTGCGCACTATATATTAATATACATCCTTGTCATTGCTATGATCTTTCTCCCTATTTTCGAAATGACAAGTCCTGCAGTGTCTTCGAAATGCCATCTTCTTGAGCTTCCGCAAGAGCTGCGAGACGAAATATACAACTATTTGCTTGAAGCTGAAGGCCAAACTCTACACTGCTACGACGGAATACCCAGACACAATGATTTCCCACGGGCCAAGATCGGCCGAACAAAAGAAAGTCATATAGACCGTAAGATTCATTTGCCGATTCGATTTTGCCAAAAACCTTTGGCAATATGCCGCCAACTACGCACAGAGTTCTTAGACTTCCTGGATGCCGCACACTCAAAAAGTGGTCCCATAATCATCACAATGGATGCCCTTCGACCCATCAGTACAGCAGTAGGATGGTTGACACCCGTCAAGAAGCTACTGACTCCCGCTTTCATGCGATCACGACCTGCTATAAGTGCGAGCTCTCATATTCACTTTCGTGTCTGGCCTGGTTGGAATTGGTGGCATGGGGACCAAAACTCGACCGTCGAAGACCAGCTCGTAGTAATGCTCCCCTTCATTACACAAGCAAAGAAAGTGACACTTGAGTTGTGCTTAGAGACCTGGGATCTCGCCAATAGAGACATCGAGTTGACCGATTTCTTCGAGCGATTACAGCCTTTTCTAGGCTCAACTTTGCGTAGACAAAAAAGTGAGCCATTTGGGCGGGTCACATGGCTGATAAACCTACGAACATACGATCAAGACGGTATTGAGCCGTCATACGATATGATAGTGAATTTGTATGAGAGAGAGGAAGTATATATCGCGGAGCGAAGCGAGATCCAAGTTGTCGAAAAGATTGGCAAGGTGAGCTGATATAATATTGAGTCGATCATTGCTGACTGACAATGGGATAGCTGGCTCCAGACGACTGGTTTGCTGCTACCTTTAATGGTGAGAGTAATGGGCCTCCTTTCGAAACGAAGATATGGCACAAATCGATCAGTCTGACTGCCTGAAGACATGAATTCTGCGGCAAGCAGAAGTCCTGTTCTGCAGCGGCAAGCTCTGGAGGCGTCATGTGGCAAGCATGTTTTATTAGTATCACAGTACTCCGACCAACATAGCAATATGACTGCATCTAAACAATTGCACCTTTGATCTAATCATGATTGGGTGATCGACAAGGCTGTGAACTTATTTGTTGATGATGCGAACTAGTGGGCGCACGGACCCGTACAGGTGCGTTGCTATGCGAGCAGTTTTGTTTACAATCGCATGCGCTAAGGTCTGCGCCTTACTTCATGTGTAGCAGGCCACCAAACAGACCCTTCCTACAGTCTCGACGTTCACAAACAATTGATCCCTCAGAACATTAGCGGTACAATTTAAGCATATTGTATCCTAATGGATCCACACACGCAAAGTCATCCCAATTCACCTGAACGTGTGACCGGCCCGCGAGGACCGTTCGAATCTGTAGAGAATCGCTTGCCATTCTCACCCTCTCTACCCGAGTTCCGCGGGTTCAAGCAATCACCCAGTCGCACAGCATCAGATATACACGTTCAAGGCATGGTGGCTCGATTCAACAGTCTGGACATCAAGGACCATAAAGACTTGGCACGCCGCGATGAAGTAGCCATTAAGCGTTCGGAGATGGCGCGCGAGATGGCAGAACTAGAGTTGAAGAAAGCAAAAGAAGAAAAGGACGAGCTTGAGCGATATGCCGGCAAATACAGAGAAGAAGCTAGGCGTCTGAGGAAAGAGGTCGAAGAGGGCCGTGAGCGCGAAAGAAAAGTTGCAAAACGGTTAGACGTTCTTATGGTAAGCTATGAACTACCAGTATGATGTAATTCAAGGCTCGCGACTAACTGTCGGTCAGGACGAATTACATCGGGCCAAAGAAACTACTGGGCAGACCCAGACCGTCTACGAAAAAGAAATTCGACGCGCTCGCAAGGAAGCATTTAAGTCGTCATCAGCCCTGGTGAAAATGCAAGAGGAGCTCAAGGCGACCCGGAGCTCCCTCAAGGTCACTCAATCGGGACTCGAGAGTGAACGACTGCGACTATCAAAGAGGGAACAGGAAGCTTTCACCGCACAATACCAATTAGTTGCAGTTCAGGAGGAGCTCGAGAAGGCCCATTCTGCTATCAAGTCTGTCGAAGAGGAGCGTGATGCATTAAAGACCAGTTTGAAGGAAGAAGAAGTCGCTCGTATTGCTGCCCAGGGCGGAATTGCGTTGCCCGTTTCGCACAGCGAAGAAGAACTCGACGAGTTCGCTTCGCCTCAAAAGTCTCCTATGAAGCGACCACAGTATGACTCCTCAGACAAAGAGAACATCATGCCTAAGCGAACGATCGAGCTCAGGCGCCTTCAAGAGGAGCTACAAGTAGAGGCGTCCCTAAGAGCTCGAGCAGAGGAACAGATTGACTTTATGAAGATGGAATGCCAATTCCGCTGCTGCTCGTGCCGCATTGCCGATATCCAGAATACAAAATATGTCCACGATAACTCTTTGGATACAGAGATGGAGCGAATCAAGGCCTCTGTGCCTGCCCTGTCACGCTCGGCTAGCGATGATGAGATGGAGGAGTTGATGGATCCAACAAAGCTTGACACCGAGGAATTCAATCCCTCGGCGCTTGACATAATGCCAACCACACCAGCCGATACCGACATGATGGATGCTGTGATCAAAGATGAGCCCGAAGAGGTGGATATTGATTTTGCGAAGATTCCGGACGTACACACGACCGAGGAACCTGCAATCGAAGCAGTCATCGATGAATGTAACCGTGAGCCGACACATTTCTCTCTTTGTCAACTTAACCAACGTCAGCTAAGCCAAATTACAGAAGATGCAGTGACGTCGTCTCCTACTCCAGCTATCACCCAGCCAGAGATCGCAGTTGAATCGCCCACGTCTTTACCCAAAGTCACTCTTATTACGAAGCTGAGGAAAGAAATCGAGGACGACGAAGACAAAGAAAACCTCCCTGAGACCCCCATGGTCCCTGCAATTCGCACAATAACACACACAACGACGATACCGATGCGATTTAGTCCCGCAAAGGCTGATGTTCCAACAGCTCCCTCAACAGCTCCTCACCTACCTACGAGATCGTTTTCAGAAAGGGCACCCTCCACCAAATCATTCAACTCATCTAACGAGAACATCACACACGATCTCGGAAAGCTGGAAATTGACCGAACTGCAGCTTTAGAGGCTATCCGGCAACGCCGAGGCAGAGCACGGAGTATTGCCAACGCTCAAATGACTCCGCGGAAACAGATGATGGAGGGTGTCAACGAGAGAAGAGATATCAGTGCACCACAAATCAAATACGGCAGGCCATAAAAGTTCTGGCCTTGATGTCTTTGACCCATGTATGCTCATTTTTAGCGGCATCGGCTTGGTGTTGAGGATTCAGTTTTTGTCTTGGTTAAGATGAATGACAAGGCGTTCTGCAGCTTATAATCATGAATATATAATATTGAATTCTGATTCCTACATGCCAATGGTTCACGACGTATAGTAATATCCAAACTTCGTACTAGTGCACGTGACTTGAAGTATGCGGCTTTTGGGCCTCAGGCGTTACCGCCAAGATAATAAGCGAACATCCACACACGCGGCAAAACTTTGGACCTCTCTGACGAACCTCGACTACAGTATTCCACGCCCGCACGACTACCACCCCATCAATTCTCACGACATCCGACCGAATTCACTCCAGTCACATAACTCGAGGTATACGGTCATCATGTCGGACGGCGAAGTCGAGGTCGAGACCCAGACCGTTCAGGTCCTACCCAAGGATGTTGTCGAGGAGATTGGCTCTATCAAGCTCTTTAACAAGTGGACCTATGAGGATGTTGAGATTCGGGATATCTCTTTAACGTACGTCTTCAAGGATCCCTATACCTTCCGCTTCAGGCGAATGTGCTGCTCGGCGTAGTATAAGCATTGCGACCCGAGCGCGATGTGTGTCGGCCAAGAGCTAACATTGCCAATTAGTGACTACATTCAAATCCGCGCACCCGTATACATCCCGCACTCGGCTGGTCGCTATGCTCAAAAGCGCTTCCGCAAGGCGCAATGTCCGATCATTGAGCGTCTCACCAACAGCATGATGATGAACGGAAGGAACAACGGCAAGAAGCTCATGGCCGTCCGCATCGTCGCCCACTCGTTCGAGATTGTACGTCGGCTTGCGCGAGCCCAGCAGTATGAGGAATCTGACTGACTTTCTTTCCTTACCAGATCCACATCATGACCGATCAGAACCCGATCCAGGTTGCCGTTGACGCCATTGTCAACTGCGGTCCCCGCGAAGACAGCACACGTATTGGAAGCGCCGGTACCGTTCGTCGTCAAGCCGTCGATGTTTCGCCTCTCCGCCGTGTCAACCAGGCTATCGCTCTCCTCACCATCGGTGCCCGTGAGGCCTCCTTCCGTAACGTCAAGAGTGTAGCAGAGTGCCTGGCAGAAGAGCTCATCAACGCTGCTAAGGGTAGCTCAAACTCATATGCCATCAAGAAGAAGGACGAGTTGGAGCGTGTCGCTAAGAGCAATCGGTAAACGAAAAAATGCATATGGCTTTGTGGAGATCGTGGTGCGCTTTGGAAGGACTATTGTGTGTGTATTTATGAGGCGACCATTTCGGATTGAATGACACCTTACCGTATGGGAACTCAGGCGTCAAGTCCTCGGATAGTGTGCGGTAGCAGAGAAAAACTACGAATGCACATGCCTCAAAATGCTTGTTCCGAATGGCGCCTTGTGACAACATCGTACTGCAGCATGGTAGCTCCTAACAAGCTACACTTTTACATACGTCTAGTGGGCATTGGAGAACTGAGTATGGCACTTTGCTATGGAGTACGACAATATGTCCTATGCCCAATATGTAAATTTAGGCATTATGAGACCACTAATGACAATCAGAATGACGTTTATGGACATATTATAGTCGACGTCGCGCGGAAAGAACAAAAAGAGCAATGGATTAAAGACTCTCATACCTTTCGCCTGTCAGCGATGACTCTAGGAACTGCCTGAAGCCGACGGAGTGCGTTGAACCAGAAAAGGGGAGTGTTAGGCAAGATTCTGAGTTCCTCTATAGTATGATATATGGCATGATTTGTCTACTCACATAACGAAAATCTATCATATGGGAGCCTAGCATCCTAAGATAACAGTTAAACGTAAATACAGCTATTAAATTCACTCGCCGATTGATCTCACGATGCGAGTTCTAGACCGACTAATCAATAACGCTTCTTCCGCAAAGGGCAAGCGCCACACCATACTTCTCCCCTTTACAGGTTTAGCGTATTCTCTACTTCTGCTCTTCCACGGCCGCCAACAACGCCAACAACGCCATATCTAGCAGCCATAATGGCGAGAACAGGGCTGGAGGCGACACGATCGGCAGTGCCGAAAGTCTCGCGTCCTAGATCATGAAAGACCACCATGTCATCAGGGGGATTAGGTATACCTTGGGTGACAGCCCCAGATAAATATAATAAACTCAAAAGGCTTTCCGCAAAGCCTCATGTCGATGTACACGCTACAATCACCAAGGAAGTGACAACTGCCCGACTATCTTGCAAGAATGAAAAGTCTCTTGCTGGCTGTGGTAGCCATCCTGGCGACAGCGACACCCGTCGAAGAGCATATCCGGTCTTCAAAAACTTGTCCCCAGTCGATGTGCTGTGTTCGCGGATCGGAAGCTACAGCATCGAATTTCGGGCCGTATTGGAGTAGTAGGGAGAAGCGTTATCGATCGAAAGAAGAGTGTGGCAAGCACTGCATGTCAGATGCTACATGTCAGACATTTGCGATCGGGGATGGATCTTGTCGGCACTACAGGAATATGATGTACGTCTAACGAAGTTGTAGAGACAGACACGAGTACATTGACTTACCCCTCCTAGCTCGAACAGCGTGCTTCGCTCGCATACAGGATTCTTTGAGTTCTCATCGAGATGCTGTGCTGAGCCTCAAAATCTGCTGCCGAAGTCGAGACCAACCTTATCGAAAACCAAAAAACCATGTACAAAGACGTCACGTCCCATGAGCTCTCACTCTTTGACTAGCTCAAGCACATTGACAACTCAGATTGCTTTGACAAGTGCGAGCAGCAGTAGTAGTAGCATCAACAGCCCGTTGTCTTCGAGATCCTCCCAATCTGCTTCTGGAACACCATCGTCAAGCTCTTCAACGACCTCGTCGGTCGCATCGAGTACATCATCGTTGAGCTCAACAATTAGCTCTGAGGTCGCATCGAGCACATCGTCCCCTGCCTTGATTTCATTGTCGTTAAGTTCCAGTAGCAGCAGTAGCAGCAATGAAGCTGTATCGACACCGTCAAGCAGTCCTACAATCACACAATTTACGATCTCCATCACAGTCTCCACGCCATCCTCCTCTCCCACTGGACCTCCTAGCTGCGAATCAGTGGGGCCTGTCAATGATGGCGTGACGCCTCTCCAGACTATCGCGACGACCGACCCCAACATCTGCGGTACCACATGCTTGTCTACCGACGGCTGCCTATCATATGGAGTCAGTAACACTCAGTGCGCACTTTTCAGTGCACACGTCAGCGAGGTACGAGCGATTGTAGCTCCAAAGTCCGTCAGAAGAGGCGAGATTTTCGTGTTCTACGACATCGGGTGTACGCTGCCTGATCCCTTGCCATCATCGACTTCGGAGGTGGTTCCCGGATCGACGACTGAGAGTGCAACGGCAGATGTTACATCGACGTCGATGCCCACGACGCCAGATAGTACACCGACTTCATCCACGACACTTGAGAGTAGCACATCAGCCACTCCGTCCTCAACCCCAACATACACTCCTAAATGCGGCCTCACAGGTACATACGGCTTCGTCAGCTCCATCGCCAGCAGCGCCAGTGCAGGTGGGTCGCAATCTGATTGTCGCGCGTTCTGTTTAACCAACAGCGCGTGCCAAAGCTATGCACTCTTGAACAGTGTGTGCTATCTTTATGATCGGAATCTGAGCTCTTACTATCCGACGAATAATGGGATGGTAATTTATGACCGAGGTTGTCCTGTGGTGATACCTAGTGTGACACCGAGTGAGGAGGTAATGAGTTCGACGTCGTCGTCGGTTGCGCCAATAATTACTGATTGAGCGGGTAAAGCCTGTAGTATAATTTCTGCACGGTAGAACTTTTCATATTCTTGCATATCATAACGCATAGACTCGTTTCTACCACGTATTAGTTCCTCGAGATCACAAAGGTTGCGTCGCTTTCGAGATAGCGTAGGTGGTTTTCTGGCTGCTCTCGCTCTGCAAAACTGATGCTGAACATACGATACGATCATACTTTAAATGTGACCTTTTCGATCGATATTTGGACAGTGGTTCTTTCGGCGCTCGTGAGTATATACAATTTCCCGCCAACACGCGAATCGGTTCGCAACGAGGCCGCTCTGCATTCGTGTCTCCGACGTACGAGCCAAACAGCTTTTCCCACTGAGTTTGGTTCCTTCCCATCCTTCTGTTCTCACTCTCCACCCATCTAGTACTCCGAGATAATGTCGCCTCGTCTCTTTCCACGGATGAAGTATTTGCCCTGCTCACGGCATCAGTATCAGTCCGATCAGTATATCCATTTCGCATTCAGGCCGAGGCTTGAAAGATAGAGCCGCCCTCACATCAGTGTTATAAAACCAGTATCCCACTGCCGTGGGTACGGCAACCATGTACACGAATGAGACCCACGCCGCGCGGGGCGTCCATCGAAAGTACTTATATCGATTGACCATCATGTCTACCGCAGCATGTCAGTTCGGTCCGGCGCGAGAGTCTGAATTCTATAGGGCACAGGTATGGAAGGGGGTTCCTGATCGGGCGGTGTGAATCGACATACTGTTGTATTTGACCATCGCCGGGTCCATTGTGGCGGCTGTTTGGAGTTGTCAGTTGAGCCATTGAGTGCCGAGGGGAGAGGGTACATTGTGGTCCATGACCGGCCATAATTGCAGTTGTGGTGAGCCCGATTGAGCTCGGAGTAACTGGTAATGGTTGATTTGAGATGTGCTGATGGGAGCAGAGCTTAGAGATGAGGTTGGAAGGTGGGTGGGTATTATAAATGACTAAGCCATTGTTACAATACGCATACTGCCTTTTTGAAGATTAGCTTCGTCAGGTACGATTTTGTACGACAAACACCGTAAGAAGAAGCATTCATGCAGTGGTTCAAGTCAAACAACGTTCTCATGCTGATGGCATTATGATGAATGCCAGAACAAAAAATATCACTCGTTGACATAGCATTTCATGGGCATAGCAATGTTAAGCCCCGCACGTGAAATGGCTCGGTTCTCGGGCGGCAACTGACGCTTCCTGGTTGCCGCTATGGGGAGTATCACCGAGCAGTGCCGTATCTGATTTCTTTTCATCATCGTTCGTCTTGATTCATATTACTTCATTTATCAAGTTCTGGCCGGTGCCTCAGTACCATATTCTTAACATATAGTATACCTTGGATAGACTCAGCAATAATGGCGACGAACGAGCCGAAACCCAAGATTACACTTCATTGGTCAGTCAACATTGTTCCTAGCGGACTCGGCAGCTAAAGACTACCAGGTTGGAGTTGTCTCGCTCGCACAGAATATTATGGCTTTTAGAAGAGCTTAACATTGGGTATGAGTTGAAGACCTACAAACGCGGGTCAGATAGACTTGCGCCTCCTGAGCTGAAACAAATTCACCCCCTTGGAACTTCTCCATTGATTACGATCGAAGTTCCAGGGCAGGAGAAGCCGGTCACCATGGTTGAATCAGGCGAGATTGTCGAATACTTGTGCGAGTTCTACGGCAAGCATTTGATTCCACCCAGATATCCGGAGGGCAAGGAAGGTCAAATCGGAATGGAGACGGAAGAGTGGCTGCGCTATCGCCATTACATCCACTACGCCGAGGGCACCATCATGCCTTATAACATAATGATGTTGATCGTCAGCAGTGAGTCTTAGCTCCCTGTCTGTGTCGTGTCTTACCTAACACTGGTAAGTCGTCAGCAACCCTCCAGGCGCACCGTTCTTTATCAAGCCAATTGCTCGTCGCATTGGAGATGGTGTCAAGAACATATTTTTACAGAAGAAGCTCGACACGAATTGGGCGTTCCTGGAGGAGCAGGTTAAGACTGCTCCGAACGGTGGTGGCTACTTGTGCGGTACCAAGCTGACCGGTGCGGATATCCTTATGGTGTTCCCGCTCGAAGGTGGTCGTGCGAGGACAGGATTGACTAAGGAGAAGTATCCTGCTCTTTGGCAATATACCGAGAAGCTTTCTAACAGCGAGGGCTACCTCCGTGCGACGAAGAAGATCGAGGAGGCAACAGGTGAGAAATTTGTTGCCATATCGGCGTAATATGAGCATATGTATATATGAATGTAGCAATAGTTTGCGCAATATACCAGGACAGTATCGCAAGTATCGCGTAGTGCTTCAGACTAACAATGCAGGACTTCTAGAAACCTCAATGTGGCGAGATTTTAAACGATGGGTTCATGAGAATTTTCTGCTCCCGAAATAGACTAGATCTGTAAGCAGATACTAGGACTGATACTATGTATGCAAATACACTGCCACCAATGTTTCGTCAGCAGGTATCAGGTACAGGACGAAAACGGCTGGTGCGTGCTGGATGTTCGATCAAATTTTCTGTCGAACGGGGCCGGATACGGGAGGTCGGAACCGGTCTCGGGCGACGGGACAACGGTAACGCGAGATGGCGCCGCCCCCGTTGCTGCAGGGTCAGCTTCCTTGCGTGTTGCCAGAAATCTCTTGCTGTGCAGGCCAATCTATTGTAATAATGCGCTCTTGCTCACCTTTTGATCAGCATTACAGCCCTAATACAGCTCACCCACAGCCCATGTAGCACAGCCACCCGGGCCGGCACCGCGAATTTTTGATATGTCGCAAGCGCTTCTTTACGTCTCACCGTTTCATTGCCGTTCAGCTTCCGAGAAGAGGTAGTCTTGGGCCAATGAGCGAAGGAAACCGCTCGATTTACAAGCAGTTCTTTGTGGCCGTAAACCTCTCTGACGCATGAAAAGTCGGACTTGCTAGATGTTATGCTCTATCAGGATTGACTCTTGCATGCATTAATTTAGAATATAGCAAACATGAGCACTTACGTCATGGCCAAACGATTTAGACGCAATGAAGTCGAAAATCTATATTTCTGTGCGGAATTATGTTGTGATAAGGCATTGAACGCCATTCAAACTCTACGTCCATATAGTGCTTCACCGCACCAAACATACTGTAACAATCGTTAGACTTTGTGACCTTCCACTTTCCCCATCGGCATACTCGACACATAAGGACGAAAACAGAAAATACTCAATATAAATTGATAAATAGTACCGAACATCAGGCTGCGACTGATGCAGTCTCAAGATTCCCATAACACGGGCAGAAATAGGCAGCGCTTACCAAGCGACCCCAGTCTTGGGAGCAGGAGCCACCAGGACCCTGACTCGGCCAAGAACACCTACAACAGTCCCTCTTCGTCCAGAGGGTTTCGAGTACCAGGACAAGTAACAACATATACAAGCCATGCAGCAAACCCTCAAAATGTCCCAATAATCCCGATTCCATATAGCCAAACGCGCCCACCTTTCTCGCAGAATCCTAGGAGTCATGTAGCACAACCTGTTATTCCATACCGTAATTCGACCTATTCTCTACAAGATTCGCAGCGCAACTCTCAACTAATAGCCCAAGCTTCGGCTTACCCATACCAGCACAAGGCCCCGATGAGCTACGATTGGGACGGCACGGTTGATTACACGGGTATCTCAGAATACTACGAACCACAAGGAGAGCTCGTTCAAGATCAGGAGGGTGTAACACAAGCTGAAGGTTTTCCTGGGCATGACTTCGATATACCATATCTGGCTACAACGCCTGAACTCGCCCAGTCTTCAGTATCAGCAACTCCTGCAAGCCAGCAGCAATTGTCACCACTTCGAGCATCGCGCCCTCCTCAGCCACTAGAGCAGACTTCAAACCCTGGAATGAAGCGGAAGGCAGACTCGACAGAGCCGACCTCGGCCACTACTGCTGCGGCAGCACCCATTCCTGACCTTGGACCACCTTCGAAGCTATCAAAGACGCGATCCACACCCCATACATTCCATAGTGAGACACTCGCGGCACGGCCGAGTCACGATGAGACCAGAGCCTCAGTAAGACGACGCCAAGCCGAGGATTCGGCGCTTTCATCGGAGGACGGCGACGCGGAATCTTCACAGCGCAAGGGCTCTCATAGCGAGTCTACACAGTCTGAAAAGGATAAGGCCCAAGTCAAAGCACGCAGAATTGTGGAGGGGCCCAATCAATTCAACAGTGTTCTGCCTGCTGGCAAAGTGTTTCCTATCCAGGTCGGCTCAGAACTGTTTAGACTATCTGGTGCCTCAATCTCTTCTGATGGTAATGCCTACCCTTCCCACGTACTTCACCATTGGCTTCCCCGATACTGAGACATCTAGAGCACCCTCGTGCTTCTCGCACTTCTTTAGTGAACAGTTGAGAGGCGGATCCAGCAGCGTGGGCGAATTGAAGACACTGTATATCGATCGCGATTCCGCCATCTTCCAAGACATTGTTCGTCACCTCCAAGGTACATGATTCCGCTCCTAATGACGATATTAGCTAATTCGATCCAGGCTACTACGTTAGACCACGTGATTCTGAGCACTTTGTGAAACTCTTCTCGGATGCGCAATTCTATAGCTGTAGGTCATCCTCTTCTTTCTGTGGAGTAGTCTGCTAAGATTTGCACAGTGCCACGGCTGACACAACAGCTCTTCAAGAGTGAGATATTCGTAGAGATCGGTGGGCAGGATTTTCGCATACCGCGGGACTTGTTTTCAGCCCCAGGCGATTCGCCGAACTTCTTTTCACTCGGCTTTGCACACTTCTTTAGTACACCTTCAGAAGCTTTTCCTGGTCTGGAGCAAACATCCTTGCTGCGACCTCCATCGGTCATACCGCCCACTGTACACAACCGGTCTGGGAAAACCTTTTCGGAGTTGATGCGACTTCTTCAAGGGTACCCTGTGCACATCGAGAATGAAGATCACCGGGCCGAGCTACTGCGAGATGCTCGATACTTTCATCTCAAAGGCCTGGAACAGCGAATACTTCCAGCTGGAATAAGTTATAACTTAATACGCAACGTATCGGAGATAGTCATTCGATTAGAAGATCTGCGTCAGTCGGGGGTGTCTGTGACGTCTGATGTGACAGGAGAGGCGGACATCAGCATCAATACATCACCACCTTCGGGAGTCAATGCTACTAGGCTGGGACCCGGTTGGGTATCATATGCTCGACCATATATCGACGAGAAGTCGCATAACCTCGTTCTCGAAATCAGCGGTCAGGAGTCCACAAGGCTACACTTCTCCGCTGGTCCAACATCGACATCGGTCTTCATTCGAGCGACTTTTGCCAACGAAGCCCTCGCTCGCATATCGAGCCTTTTCCAGGTCATTGCGAACAAAATGGGATTGCCTGCGACACAAGCTCTTGGGCTGATGATGCTGGAAAGTGGCGGAGGTGTTGCCGCACAACCAGTGAGCCCAGCAAACAGTGGTGTGAGTGGAGAGAAGGTGAAGATACGTATCGATGGCGATGCATACGTCGAGGTGGATGGTCAGGCAGTGTCAGTTGATGCTGGGGCCGCGGGAGTTCGATCGTGGGCTTCCCCACGACTGTTTAGTGCCAAGAAAGCGAATCGTCATCGTAAAGACGACGAGAATGCATCTTCAGCGGAGGATGATCTGGAAGAGATGATGGACTTTGATCAGGATGAAGAAGTGACGTGGATAGTGCGCCGAGCGCATTGGAGGTTGCGAATCGTGCCTGGTGAGGAGGTTGGGCGCATGGAGGTTATCATGGTGGCAGTGCGAGTCGAAGCGTTCACTTCAGAGCGTGTTCGCAATCTCTCGAGAGGGTTTCTGGCTTGACGTGTTTGTGGTAATGTATTATTGTACAAGTGCAACGCAGCGAGGGATGCGAGGATTCAGCTTTCCATTTGACCGCGATATCTAGCATATGATCAAATAGACGCATATGAATGATGTTTAGCACGTCAGATCACTATATACGCCAATTGCAGCAGCTTAGAAAGGAATGCAGAAGCGCCCCTGCATGTCAGCATACCCATGGTGATATTGTACCATACGGCATCAAACATGGCCAATCAGCGATATTCCAACCATCCGATGAAGATGTGATTTCCAAGCAAGGGAGGTTTTGCGAACCGGAAGTGCAGACAACGCTACCATCTGCTTTATATTTATGCCGAGCGGTCGAATCGTTAGCATGGATGAAGTAGTCTATGGCAAAGTACAGTACCTGAAGACGGCTCGTTCTATAGATGACGTCGTGTGTCTCGGTCGACTTGCAAAGTTTCGGCAATAATACAGAAAAGGGTCTGCGGTACCGTTACCATTATCATTACCGCTGAGTTACCACGCTTCTTGTCACCCTACCCCACTTCACTGAGTCCACCCCTACTACCGGAAATGGACGGTATTAGTCTTCTTGAACGGCGCCCATGAAAATCCACTTTCAATCAGTCTGACAAATCGACTCTGATTACTATGTCAATCGCCGGCTTCACTCTGACTTCTTCTACCATGGACCTCCATTCGCGCATTCATGCATGCCTTCAATGGCTCCCTCAATACCCAGATACATCGATACGGTGATCATAGGTAACGCTGCGCCATGCCTGCTGTTCTTAGGATAGCAATCTAACCTCGTGGACTAGGCAATGGGCCCGCGGCGCTGATATTGTCGTACATACTACATGGAAACATTCCCTACTACGCCGGTGGCCATCCAGACCCATTGCTAGACGCGAAGCTATCCAGAAGCCGAACCCTCCTTGACGTAACGCCGGATCTGTACGACCATTTTTCGTCTTCTCTCCGCTACTCCACTCAAGCGCTTCCTATAAACACCCTCCTAGATACCCTACTTCGACCCAATGCAGATACAGAGCTAAACCCGCCGTCATGCGTTTGCTGGAAGTACGAGCCACAGAAGGCTGTGCCTCATATTGTCCTGGGAAACACTGCAGCTCCTGGCGGGCAATGGCAGGAAAACGCTGTCTCAGCCAGCTGGGATATTGGGACTCTGAGCTACGCAGAGATGCTTTCCTTGCCTGGCTTGACATTCGCAGACCACTGGGAGCGGGCGCATGGCCAGCCAATGCCTGATTTTGTACGACCATCTCGTAGAGAGGTTGCGGATTATCTGAGCGCTTACCCCACAGCGGTTGGTATATCAGACTCCATATTCAACTCGCAACAGGTCTCGGGCATATCCAGGACCAGAGACGGTTTCATGATTGCCTCTCACAACATGCGCTGTAAGCATCTTGTTCTGGGTTCGGGAACCTTCTCGATGAACATTGCGCCACAACCCCCACTAGCAGAACTTGCGAACTTGCGTACCAAATCCGAACCATTACTTGTGGTTGGCTCGGGCTTCTCCGCTGCCGATGCTATCATATCAGCCAGCGAAACCCGTCAGATCATACATATCTTCAAATGGGCACCAGACACACGACCTTCGCCGTTGAGAGGATGTCACCATCAGGCATATCCGGAGTATGCTGGTATTTACAAGAAGATGAAACTTGCTTGCAAACAGTCCCCGACAAACACTTCCAAACAACGACCTATGATGAGAAGGAAATCGAAATCTTCTCTTGGCAACCGTGATTGGTCAACGACATACGAGGGCTATCCAAATGGAAGCATTAAAAGCGTCAATGTTCAGGAAAACACAGCCACCATCCAGATTCAATGCGCAAACGGTACTATTAGTGACCGGACAATCGGAGAATTGCGATATGTTGTCGGGAGAAGAGGCAGCCTAGCTTACCTCCAACCATCCTTGCTCAAGGAAGTCGTTGGCGAAGCCACGAGCCCTGTAAACCCGGTCGTTTCAACGAGGACCCTGCGTCAAAAAGTGGAAAAGAACTTCCAAGTCGCACCAGGTGTCTTCATCATCGGCAGTCTTGCAGGTGATACCCTAATACGACACGCGTTTGGTTCCTGCGTACATACTGCCGCCAACTTAATCAGGGAGCATTCAATCGTTTCCGAGCGCCGACATAGCATACAAAACCCTGCAACGCAAAAGCATGCACGAGAAAGATCGACTCGCTCCTTGGGGAAGAACGTTTCGCCCCATGGTATCCCTAGCTCGAATTGCAGTGATCAAAACTCGCTTGCTGAATCCTCAGACTCAGATGGCGGTGGCGGCGTCGTCTTGGAAGATCATCGTGACCTTCACATCGATCGACGGACGCTTCCCAGGGCGAAGTCAAGAGCGACTAGCCCCACGCGACAGGGATCGAGACGGTGTTCAAGCTGGTGACTTGAGCCCCAGACGAACTTGTCAGTACTATTTTACATTGTCACAGCATACCGGCGGCACGATTGAGTATTGTTTTTTCGGAGCAATACAGCGCATTACTGTAGAAGGGAATAGTGTCAGACATACAGTAACAGACGTAGAGGGCCGCGCCCCATACATGAGCATGCGCACATATGAGAGAGAGTGAGAGAGGAACAGGCCATGGTTTAAGCTGTCCTCAACGACGTGTTCTGTAATTCAAGAAACGATGGAATCTGTTTAATTAGACAATAGAATACGTGCATCAGCTCTACCTATTTATTATAGAAGATAAGTCAATCTGCCTGAGCTACATGCCATTTCTATCCACGTCAGTACCGTCTATTCCATGCCCAAACAACTCATTCACGCTCATCATAATGAATCAATAAATGCTAAGAAAGAAAGGGGAGCTGCATGTGAAAGTAAAGTTTTTAGTGACACGTCGATAATCATGGGAGTGCATGAGAAGGTTATTGACCCGTTCCGCTGTCACAATTCGCGCATGCTTGAATAGTGTTTCTACTCTTCGCATTTGCACGCTCGAAGCACAGGATATCAGTATTATAAGCAAAACAATCGATTATCTACTATAACTCGATCTAACTGTGTACGAATCAGATTCGCAAGGTTCAGTTTCCTGCTCCAATAAAGCTCCAACCACGTCGATGATAGCATACAGTTCTAAGAAACGAAGTTGCAGCGATGAATATAACGCGAGAAACGTTATTCCACCGATGCTTTCTATTCACCCTCCAGATAAGCTGCCTTGAGCTGAGTTCAAGGTTGGAACAAGAGAAGAGATTCTGTGCCGTTGAAATGTATGGACGAGTGATAATGGGGGGATGCTGACAAGATTGGGAATCATTTTGTGGAAGACTAGGACTATGTTCGAGTGGATATTTGCGGCTGGGTTGGTGCCGTCTTTACATGACCGTGGGGCTACATGATTCGATGGGGGCGTGTGGTGAGGGATGTAGATACGTAAGGATGCGATTGGTTTGGAGTTCGTGTTGGACGAATGATGAGATGCTAGGGGTCGTGGTGTCGGGATAGGGTGATCAGGGATTTGACGAGCCAAAGTGAAGACGTAGTGGTTCCAGTTCCAAGGAACGTCTGTGCTGATGCCAGTTGGGGCGCACTACGTCCGAGTCGAATGACCCGTTGCCTCCTCAATGGTGATGGCCATCGTCGACGGGTTCCTCTCCTTGTGTCTGAGCTTGAGATTCTGCCAAGTGCAGAGTCAGCAAGAGGGTCAAGCAGAAATCCCGCCGATAGTAGAGCGACTGATTTTGACCAAGCGCGACATCTTCAGGGGGTTGGAATGGGGGCTGTTGATAATGATACTACTTTAAGTAGTCATCTGACCAGATGTTCCACCTGGAATAGTATTATTAGTGAGAGCTTGATTATGAATAGTAGGAGGAATGAAAGGATGAGGAGTGCGACGGGTGTTGATGTGCGATACTCTTACGCCGTTCAGCTGTACATGTCGTTGCACTCATAACTATTGCGTCGATGCATTGCCGGCTGGTGCAGATAATACTGATAATCTTCAAAGGAAATATTGGTTTGCATACCGACTTGGCGTTTGATCTGTTCGCGTGCCCAGCGAGCGGTGTCTTTTGTGCGTGGCGAAAAGCTGTGGTTCGCACGTGTCTCACGCGCCATCTCCGTAAGGAACTCCTGGCGGAAGACTTCATTAATCTCACCATTAGGAAAGGCATCAGCAAGATCGCTATGAAACGTTAGAGTGGCCCAGGATTGATGAAAGGTGAGCGACTCACCCAATGACACCCATAGCGGAGCGCATCAACGGCTCTGCTCTGCTTGGGTCTTGGTGGACCTGCTTCAGAAACTCGATGATCGACTCGATGAATGGCATGAGAAGCTCCTGCTTGCCACCTATTTTGAGTGCCACAATAGCACCGTCCCAAGCGTCCATAATGCCTTCACGAAGACTCTCAATGTAGTCGATGAGATCGAATGTTGCTTCAGAATTGATCTTGACGCCTTGGGCTTGCTGCAGCACTTGGGCGACCACCGTGAAGTAGCTCTCAAATGCAGGTCCGATGGCCTGTGCGATATCTCCAAAGCATTGAAGAATGGCGGGCTTGAACTGATTACCTAGATTTGCACTCTGTCTCGAGTCAGCTGCGGATTATCTAAAAGAAGCTTTGGTGATTTACCTGTAGATCTTGCAGAAGATAGTTCATAAAGGAATCACAGTATGGCTGGACCTTCTCGTTCATAGAACGACTGATGTCACTGACCAAGCCGATGGCGATAGAGCATAGACCAGGCTCCTCGAGGTTACCAAGCGCATTGTAGAGGTAGGGCGTGAATGCCTCCATGTACTTGATGAAGTCATCTTCGAGTGCATTGGCTAAAGAGCCGATTGCCGTGAAAACTGTCTCTGGGACGGCCGTTTTTCCACCAACGGCTTGTAGAAGTTGAAGGAGGACTTGCATGATGCGATCTGCTAGAGGCTTGATCTCAGCTTCCAAGCGGCCAATAATGCTTATGACCACGCTAGCCAAGCTCGTTTGCATTTCTTCCAGAGTAATCTTGTCTTCGACGCTAACGACCTGTTGTTGAAGAGCAATAGTCTTTTCCAAGCGCTCGAGTATAACGCCAGACAAGTTTCCAACGAGGTTGATGACATCGTTAGCCGCATTCGTCACGAATGCGTTCAGAACTTCGTATGCAGCAGTACGAAGGTGGTTGTCGGCATCAGATCGTTCAGTGACCTGGAGGATGTGGCTCACGCTAGCCTGGAAATGCTGTGAAAGTTCGTTGGTCTCCGCAGGAGCATCGCCAGCGAACCGTTCAGCGAGGTTCATCAAAGCCCAGCAGCATGAGGAGGCCATTCTAGGATTACTCGAGAGACCTTGAAACAGAGATGAGATCAACGGCGTCAGGTGCGTGGATGGGTCGATTGCATCAGAGCAAACCTCGCAGATACGACCGAGGGCATAAGCAGCTGAGTCCTTGACCTGGAGTACAGGATCGTCCATCATTGCAATCAGGACAGGAAGAGCCTGCTTGACGAGTGGCATCAGCATAGACTCCTCCGGGCCTTCCATGATAGCACCAAACGCAGACACAGCGGCATCGCGGTAATGCCAATCTTCGGATCTGAGATGCTTCTCGACGAATTGTAGTACAGGAGGGACGACTTGTGAGCCAACAGCACTTGCGAAGAGCTGCAGACATTGGTAGGCGGCTCTCGCGGTGTTGTATTCGTCATCGGTTGCGTCCTCGTCCTGTTTCGCGAGGAGCTCAAGGAGAACGGGGACAATCTCGTGGGTTGCAACACGGGCGAAGTTGAAGTATGCGCGCAGCTCCGTCGAGCCTTCGGACTGTGCCTAATGACTGTCAGCTGTATAGATTTTATCCGGGAACGAGCAGACGTACTTGAGCGTTGTCATCCTCGATTGCAATCTCCTCCTCACAGACGGTACACCAAAACTCTATTGCAAGCTTTGCGACGTCTTCGTCATCATTCTTCATACCCATTATCGTAAGTCCAAAGAGGGCCTTCTCCATATAGAGGCGCATCTTATCATAGTACATGCCCATGATACGGTTAAGACAGCCATACGAGGCTGCTTGTACTCGTGCATCCGATGCTTGTGTAGCTTCACAGACCACTTGCATAATAAAGTTACGCTCGCCCTCTGCTTCGAAATTGTTGCGGATGAATTCCAAAGAGTCACTAAGGGCGGATACAGCCGCATACCGCACCTCTTGGCTGGGTTCTTCTTTGCGCGCTCCTGTGACTACACATGTGAGAATTGAATTTGAGTGTTGGGTAAGGTTCTCCCTGAGTGCAGCGTCTTCAACGTCACAAATGTATCCGATTGCAGTCAGAGCGGCCTGTTTAGAGTGCACTGGCGAGGCCTCTTGGCACATGGCCATAAGAGCCGGCATGAGCTCGTCCCATTGTCCCCTAGGCATGTCTATGGTTGCGATCGACGCAATAAACTGTGCTGTGGCCGAGCCGACTCTATTGTCATTTCCAGAAAGAGTCTTGAGCGACAAGCTTCTCATCTCTTGCTTGACAGCTCCGTCTACTTGCGTAAGCCATCGTTCTTGGACCTGGCGTAACCGAGCAAAGTCGCGAGCTGAGAAACTATTTTTAAGAGCTAGGGCGGCCGCCATGCGGACTTGAGAGGATGTAGCTTCATTTGCAAGCTCTTTCCCTAATGTGACCAGATATCCGGACTATGTCGGATCGTCAGCTCACACTCGAGCTCGGTATCATAGTAAAGACGGTGTAGGCAAGTACGTACAAAATCGGCCTCCGCGGCTTGTGTGAGCTGTGCCTCTGAGCTCTGGCGCACGCTGTCATCTGGGTGAGGTCAGTTCTGGCGGCTTGATCGTCTCAAGTGCTTGTTTGAGGAGGCCTCCTTACCTGGAGACAGAGTCCCCTCTAGCACCTGGTTGACGTCCATGTTGTGGAGCAACGAGTATAGCAGAGTCTAGGTTGAAGACGATTGGCGCGAGACGGTATATTCGAGTTAGTAGAGCCCTGTAGAAATTTGGTGGGCGAATGCGCAGGGCTGTGGTGTGGTGGGGGAGTGAGTGAAATTGTAGCGGAGGAACCGTGTCGAAGGATAGAGGTCGAAAAGCCCTGACACGTGAACTTTGTGTTCAGCAGCAAGAATCGAGGCGCAAGAAGGATCTGGAGGATTGAGACCAAGTAGTAAACGGTACAGCCAGAATCGTGTGAATGAAAGAATTAAAACAAGGAAGCTGATGCAAGCGGCAAAAGCCCATCAAACATATGAAAGACCAGTAACTTCCTCGCCCTGTTGCGGGCGGCGTAGGAGCCATCAAAACACAGGCACAGACCGCCAAAGGACAAGGCACGCGCCCCTATTCGCTCGCTAAACCCCGCCGTAGCACTCCTTTTCTTAGCCCCACCCAGTCAGTGAGTAACATGGAAAGTGTTTATTTTGCCTAGGGGATGGAAAAGCGCTATTAGAATGTCAGAGGCTTTGGCTGCTGATAAAATAGTGTATACGACCGTATTCTGTTGTCATAGGAGTGTCTGTCAAGAATTAATGCTGCCAGTGCCTTCCATTCCTCAAAGCTCCAAAGCCATGTCTAAGAATAATAATGTGTGAATACCAGGGCTAGACGCTCGCTCTGAAATGTAGCGAAACAACATCCCTCAGCATGATGTTGCTGCTGTAGATACGCTTGCAATACACGCTTCAACCCCATGTTCTATTAGCCTCTACGTCCCCTAGGACTCTCGGCCTCAGTCTTCTTCCAGTCCCGCATCTCTTTCGTCCCCATGCTGCCTAAGCCCCCTTCACTCCTCCTCTCCCATCCGCCGAGCCGAACGACGAGACAGGTAGCATTGTCTGCGTCATTCGTGATAGCAGTGGCAAAGGTGACTACATCTCTCGCACCTTGCTCTGGGGTTTTAGCCTCCTTTACTATATCTAGGACCTCCTGGTCTTCAAGCTGACCAGATACACCATCAGACATGAGCACCATGAAAGAGTATTCCGCCGGCGCGACTTCGATACGTCGGACCTCTGGTTCAGCTGATACACCTATACGCTTTGATGCAATGTCGCCAAAGGCTCGAGTGTTTGCTAATCCGGAGACTCGTTCCTCGCCAAAGGAGTCAGTCACAAACGTTGCTGCGTAACGACGCATTCTTGCCGCTTCATGCGGGTCCGAAGGATGGTGATTCGTTGTGAGAGGTACTGGCTGTCCCGTAGATGTTGAGCAGAGTAAGATCCGCGTATCACCACAATGAGCAGTGATAATTGTTGATGGAGAAGCCGGGTGCCAGAAGGGGGACGGGGTGGGCGTCGAAACGAGTGCAATGCTGCATGTACTACCTCCTCTGAAGCGCTGGGGACCTCCTATATTCTTTGGAGCGGCAAAAGGATTGTGCAAAACATCGTCAGCATTGATCGCCCGGTCCGCAGCTACAGAATCTTCTTTCTCATCTTTCTTGGCGGCTTGTGCCGACACGAAGTCGTAGTCAGCTTTCAAGAAAGCATATTCGAGGACAGTCTCAAGACCAAGACCATGCTCTTGGTCGTCGTGTAAACTTGATCGTCGCGGTTGTCTTCTTTCCTCAGCGCCGGCTGACAGCGTGTGCCCCTGGCCGCCGACAACTTCTGAGAAGAACTCTGGCTTGAAACGCCTGTAGTACCCTCCCACCAACTCCTTCCACTGATGGACAAGCTGCTTTTCTAGCTCTTCCGCATTCTGTATGTTGTCCGATTGTACGAAACTTGCGTTTGTTTCTGGTGGCTCCTCATTCGCATTGGACTTGGGCTCTTTTACTTCGGTGGAGCTAGGCTTGACCCCTCCCTTCCCAAAGTCTACAACGTCAGCACCTCGGGGCTCTTCCGATCGGCTTTTGGAAGCCTTTTCCACGCCTAGCCAGCCATACATTCTGTCCTGCTTGTCTTTCAAATTAAGTGTGCTCTCGAGTTCGAAGAGGCCAGCTCCTTCTTCCACGTAGAGATGCAATTGCTCTCTGAGCCAATTGCTGCACTCGCTTCCGCCATGCCCATCAAAGACACCAAAGTAGAACACTTGCGGATCCCCACCTTCTCTTACGGATCCTGCCGCCACTTCAGAATCTTTACTGCTACGGGTCAGTGACATTGGACGCCGCCTAGCGAAGGCCGGTATCTCAATAGTCCCCGCTTGGAAGGCATCCTCATTGTATGGCCGCGTGCCTCTGCTCAGTGATGCCCCGAAGTGATGTTTCGCGCTTCGTATTGGTATTCGGACGACTGTCATCTCACGAGAAGCCCCCACCATCGCAGCCGGTAATCGCCCTTTGTCCTCTGCATTGTGTGGTACAGACTTGTCTCGTGGAAGTTTGTGATGTGGTCCAGCTCTTGTCCGAGAATCAGGGTGCATCGACGAAGATGGTATATGCGTTATGAAGTAGTCATGGAAGCTTCGTATGGCTGGGCTCTGCAAGCTCGGCCGGCCGACAAGCTGGCTCCCTCGCACATTGGAACAGGGAGGGAGATGGCGGAGGAAATTTGGCATGGCAAGGAGGAATAGGAGCCCAGCAGCATTGTGTGCTGACTGCTGTCGAGAGAAATGTTCCAAGAATGTAGAGGGCTATGATGTAGCCGGCAGGGTAGGTTGGAAATGGATGGATCCATCCGGATCCCATCCGGATAGCCCCACCCAAGGAAACTTCAAGTACTGCAACTCCAGCCACGGGCATAGATTACCTATACATTATAAGGCGCATTTCGACGATATATGCAAAGCAGCTGTGTATGAACGTAAAGTTATTTCGATTCTCATCATTACCGACTCATCGCATATGGCCTTGACATTCACGTATATAAGGTATCTGACCCGCACCGGTTTCTATTGCCTACACCCAAGACGCACACTTCTGCGTATCTTCTCAGCCTTTCGCCAACTCATTCCATGAGTCTTGAGCACCCATACTAGGGGCGCTCCCAGCAATAAGAGCACAGCATAGATGGCAAAACACCAACCAGATCCTACGGCATCGAGGAGTGGCTGCTGTGACGCGATACCAGCTCCAGCACCAATACACCGTATAAGGTTGTAAGAGGCCTGAACTGTCGCTGGTCTGTCTGGGTTGAGATCTGTGAGAATTGTGCAGCACATCTGCCGTGGTCAGAGTTTTCGAGCGCATCTACTATGGGCCTGCGAGACATACCGTGAAGAGACTTGATGTTGCCGCTCCAGTCAAAAACTGCATTACTAATGGTACAGCTATATGCTTAGAGGTTAAGTCAGAAGTGAATGGCTTGCGATGCAACGATATACTTACAGCTCTCATCATCAGGCTGACACCGTATCCTACTGTTGATGCAACGCTAATGAGAATCAGCGAATTCTCCATAGTGAATCGTGCTTCTTCGATAGGGAAATCAGATATATCATTCCCGGGACTATCATTGTTCTTGCGTTTACTTGATGGAGCATGCTTTCCGGAAGTACTAGGAGAGTCAGATTCGCGAGGATGTCCATCGGCCATCGAAACTCTGCTGTCTTCGACCTCAGTATCACCAAGAGAGACTCCTTCGCAATGCGAAGGGCTACCAACAACAGAGGACGTAGCAGTAAAGCTCTTTATCCGATAATCTAGGAGGCGGCCTGACTGTAAGCTAAAGGGCCACAATGAAGACGTTCAGTCTCACCAGTTCCATAGGACGAAATTGCTCCGCCCATAGCAGAGGGCAGATATATCAAGCCTGCTTGAAGGTAGTCAAGGTCATAAACCTCGATACACTGGACTGCAAGCGATGCCTGTAGGACCATCTTCACTGTATAGTAAATGGAGCCTACCAGGATCACTGTAAGATTACCTTTGCGGAAGAGCAAGGGTATGCATGTCAGTGGATTCGGCACATGGCAATCTCGCGAGGCCGCCGCAGCCTCACCTCGATGATGTCTGCGAGTAAAGCAGTCGAATACACTGCGATGGATGCCTGTTGGCCGGATACTACCATTACCCACGATTTTTCTATGGGTCTCCGGAAGAAAGAGCGCAGTCATCAAGAGGTATAGGCCCGTCAAAATCAAGAGCATCCAAAAAATCGAGCGCCACCCGAGAGTCTGAGTCAGCGCACCAGCAATCACAGGCCCAAAGCTTGGTGCGGCGTTGGTGCTTCGTCATTCAGTGATTGTGACCCTAAATCGGGATGCGAACTCACAAGAAAATGATGATACCAACATAGCCTCCCCTCTCCTCCAGCGTCGTAACATCCGCGATCACCCCATATGCTGCACCGTAACTCCCAGAAGCGCCAGCACTCTGGATCATTCGGAGGACGAAGAGACCAGGATAGTTCTTGACAAGTGCAATACCGAGGTTGGCCACGACCACGAGCATGTACATCAATAAATAGGCCGGTCGTCGTCCACGCTGGTCAGCAATGTCCCCCATGAATGCCGGTGCGACGCCGGCTACTATCAGGTATGACGTTACTGTGAGATTGATGAGTGTCACAGAAACGTCAAAATCCGATGCCATGGGTACGAGCGCCGGGAAGTATACATAACTACTAAGAGTTGAGAACATCGCCCCGAATGATGCCAGAGAGGCTATCCAGCGCTTTTGGGTTGTCGAGAAGATTGAATGAGGCGCATCGTTCGGTTCCGCCTCTTTGTTTGGGGTGTTCATATGTGGTAATGCATTGTGAGGGATTGAAGGAGAAGGGGCTGCGCAAGCTTCTTCGTCGTTTGCGACCTGGCTGCTCATTATCATGTTTGCAGCAGTTGTCTGACACGAGATCAGCCGAGAGAGGAAGACCTAAAAACAAGATTTAGACTTCGACCTTGTGGCATGATGTTTCAAGTCTCCTGGGAATCAGCTGACGCTGCGTTACCTCAGACCTGGCTCGTGAGGGGTCAAATTCGTGTCCTTGCTTCCGCGAGTCGTGGCAAACAATCCGCTGCCTACACGCTCCCCTTTCATTCCCAAACGGCCTATTTCTCCGTCGTTTGTGGCTTCGTGCGTTTGTATTCCATTCGAATTCCGATTTTTCGGGTCTATGCCCATGTCAACTATCGCGATGAACCGGAAAAGAGTTAAGCTTGACGTCAATATAGACGATGCTGTAGTTGAGAGTATGTGGCGCCTGCTCATTGGTGTTGCAATGTCTTGACGGCGAGGAATGTACCGGCAAGGCTGATTGAAATGTTCGTAGAGCTGCCACCAGGAAGCAAGATCATCGCTGTCACACAATCTGGACCGAGTATATGGATTGGTACTCTCAAGATACGAGTACTTGTAAGTACCAGAGGTTCATGCCATGTCAATCTTCCCACTGCCAGATTCTCTTATGCTCTCGGCTCTACAGCTTCTCCTTCAAAAGCCAGAAAGCATGATTTTTCTGTCTTGCCACGTCGCTTTTCGCGTTCCCAACGTACCGCTAAGAGTAATTGCGTAGCTTCGAGATGGTCGAATAGTTAAATACTTCAAAGTAAGTGTCAATAGGTACGATACTAGACACACCTAATGAGTAGCGTAGAAGGTCTCACCTCCAATCCTTATGGAGCCCCGATCAGAGCTGAAGCGCTTCCAGGAAGCATCTGGGCCAAAGGGCTTGTCAATGATGTCGGGGTCTTACGCCGCAGATTCGGAAGTACATGCCTTTGTTCCCGAATTGGTTCCGCAGCCCCTTGCATTTGGAACGTACTCTACTGACCCCAACACGCACTTCTATCTTTGCGAGTACGTGAAGATGAAGGACGATATCCTGAGCCCACGAGAGTGGGCCGCTGCCGTGTCTCTATTACACACGCGGAGCATGGGGCGGGGCCCTTCAACTCGATTTGGGTTTGACGTAACCACACACCTGGCTAATGTACCCGTGAACAACTCCTGGAACATGTCTTGGGTAGACTTCTGGACACAGCAAATGCGCGGGCTGTTTGATCAGGAGGCCAATAAACACGAGGAGGATCTAGAAATGGCGCGTTTGAGTGAGATCTTCCTCCAGAGCGTCATTCCTAGATACCTGGGCCCACTCGAAAGTCACGGGAGAACAGTGACACCGTGTTTGATACACTCTGATCTATGGCCTGGGAATATTAAGCCTCGCGCTGATGGCACTGGAGTGTGCATGTTTGACGCATGTGCGTTTTGGGGACACCACGAAGGTGAGTACTTGTCCGGAGCTGTGGGATTACCGCTCTAATCATTAGCTAGCGGACCTTGGGATCTGTCGAAATCCAAGGTACAACTTGAGACAACCGGCGATTGAAGAGTATAAAAAACTTCACTCGTTATCAGAGCCCATCGACGAATTCGACCAGAGAAATGCCGTGTATGCTATGAAGTTCCACGTACTTCTCTCGATTATGTATTTCGAGGTTGAGCGTTTTCGCGACATGTAAGGCGAAGTTTCGTATAATCAGCATATCATACCATACGCTAACAGCTCCAGACTCAAGTCAGAGCTGAGGACGTTGGTCGATACATTTGTAGATGGAGGCCATCCTGACGCATTACAAGACGACGGAAAGGACGTAAGTTCTGCTCAGGCCGATACATGGAATTCCGCGCTGAGATGTGAGTGAAAATTCGACTTTTAAGACGGAAAGCATATCTATAGTCTGCTGGAGTGGAGAATCTGAGTAATGGTCGGGCTATATACCGACAAACCACACTCATAGATCAGCAAAACTCGTGTCCAGTCATTATGGAAGCACGAGAGGTGGTCCATGGACCGTCAAAGAGCTGCACTGCATGGAGCTTAGAGGTCGTAGGTCAAGTCATTTAGACGGGTAATGGAATACTGAAGTTAATCAAAACGTCAACCCAGAGTCTGACTCGAGTAGTTGGTCTTGAGAATTTAGTTGTAGAGGCTCGACGGCAGTTCAAATATCAGGCTATTCGCTATTGCCTGAAATGACGGTACGAACAGTAATTACGTACCCCTGAAAGCTTATTCAAATTTTAACACTCGTACTCAAGACTGTCTGATCGATGTGACTTTCTCCCCTAAGAACCTGCTGCGACAATAACCAACTTCTCGAAGTCTCACGATCAAATCAGTCTAATCATCTAGAACCATCTCACATGACAGTGTGTCGTCTGTCATATTCAGCAATCCACATGGTGTAAATCCTTTGAAGGTCAACGTAGCAAAACATAATACCATCCAACTAATGCCTAGACCGAGGACAGTGATGGGCACTACGGATAGCGACGACTTCGCGGCGGATACTCCAACAGCGGTCTAGAATACAATCTGTAATTCATACCACTGCCATGGAGTTACTATATCCATTACTAATGCCCTCATATCCACTGCCGTCGTTAGTATAGCCGTGCGTGAATGGGAGAGTTTCTTGCCTACACTCGATCCCCGGACATTTTTCTCAGCTTGCGGATACATACATAGTACAAGTGGCGCCAATCTCTTTCATAAAGATTGCTGAATGCAGACCCATGGTGCTGTTTAGATTTCGCGTCGAGTGCATCGCGATTGTTGTCTGTTTCCTTTCTTGTCCTTCTTTATGGTCGCATGCTCTATCACGCTCCCACACTGTTGACGGGAACAATTTCTCCCCTGGGCTCCAGCCCAGTATGTGGATATATACTTTCATGGCTTCTTTCGGGCTCGTCCCGATTGACAGAAACTAGACAACATGATATGCCTACTACCTGATGTATAGAATAGACATGTTTGTGTGATGATATTGCATGTCAGTATGTGCTGCACTAAAATGGCGGGTTGTCGGGTCAAAATGTGACTGAGGCATAGTGGGAGTTCATCATCTGATGGGTAAATCGGTGTTGTTATGATGCGGCGGTCACGTTCGGCATGTTTGTCACTATGATACCACAAGATATTAAAAGAATTCAAGATTCGATGAGAGTGAATTAGAGGACAATAATCCCTGAAGTGATAGCAAACGGGTATATCCGCCCCTGAACGCCAATAGATATTTACACGAAGATTCTTATTCGAGTTGTGCGCCGCCACTTCTCGTCGGACAATATCAGACGTTCGAGTGACAGGGTCATGACCAGCAGACTGTGGTTCAAGCTATATACTCGTGGACTCCTTTCGATCCGATGGCGTTCGTTTCGCCGCTTGGTGAACGGTTTGCGCGATGACGACCGATGCCTTCAGTGTTGATCTCTCGGGTTATCGCTACTTCCACTACCTTTCTTATTGAGCGATCACTATTGACCGTGGACATGGAATGGGTCCAGCCATCTAAACTCGTGTTGCTCGCCGCAGTTGAATCAGACTGGTAGCGCTGATGACGCCCTTGCTGGTGCCTTCGAAGATTTCCAGGGCTGGGCCCGCGAGCGGATGAGCTTGACCCATATCTCTTTGGATAGTGTCTCGGATGTCGTAAGCTCAGATTCGTTTTGGGAACGGCAACCGACGATCGATAGCCGGGGCGCATCATTTTAGAATACTTTGAACCTACGCGGTCGCTGGAGTCGGTGAGAGATACATACCGGCGGTGGTGGCGTGCCTTGGAATCCCTCAGACTGTGGATACTTGAGGCTGTGGAGTCGTTAGAATTAAAGTGGTTGTTATATCTTTTGAGCTGTTTGGTCGACGAAAAACTGAACATCGCATTCTTTGGAGGAAATGGCGGCGACAGTGCGGCCTTTCCACCACTGATATTGGCAGTGTATGAGTTTCTTTTGTCGTTATCGTCGAAAGGCTGAGATCCATCAGGAGCATGGGCCTGTTTGAAGGTTGACATGCGAAGCTGTTCGCTCCCATAACGTGAATAGCCCTTGTTGTGACCGGACTGGCTCCGACTTCCAGACACGGTGTTTGAGATTCCGTGACAGGCCAGAGAGATAGCGGCTCTCAGGAGTGGGCGTAATGTGGCAAGTGAGCCTGCGACAATGCCGATCCCTGGTTCGATCGTGCTCCAGAATGCGAGGTTGCTTGCGTTCTCTGGGATGAGCGTCAACTAATGTACCTCACGTGGGGTTTCAAGTATCATACGGAAGAAATCTGGCCCAAAAACACTACCGTTTATGAATTTAAGCCTAATCATACTAGCAACAGAACTTCTGCGATAATTGTCTTTTAGTCGGGATCCTGTCATTAATAGATGTGGTAACTTACGTGGCCCCGAGACTAATGACAAATGTCACGGAGATTTTCGCTCGCCGGCCCATCTGCGAGTTTCTGAGCATCCATATAGGGATCAAGACAAAGGTCAGGTCTGCGATGATATTTGTGATCGAGTACATGTAGCTGAAACCGAGATTGACCGAACGTGGTAAACACTTGTCGTGAATGATGTTCTGGAAAAGTTTTGTAGGCAAACCACACTGGAAGGTCGCTAGGAAAGCGTATGTTGTACCAGCAGCAGTGGCAAAGCTCAAAGCAACGTAGAAGGCCCATCTTTGCCAAGGTCGTAATAGAACTCTCAGAAAGAAGAGTCCTATGGACACCTTTGAGGCGAGTTTTGGTCAGTGTAGTTTACGCAGAGGGTCAGATACAGCCATACCTTGAGGAAAATAGTGGTGAGAATATAGAATACTTCAGATAATACAACATACTTATGAGGCCGTCAGTATGGTTCTCTCAATTAGCCACAAAAACGTACGATTGCAGTCCGCGGGAGCGTGTCAGCAAGAGGCCTTTTCCGAAATCCTCCACGATCGATGAGGACTACCATGAAGGCGCAATAGATTGAGAACAAAAGCTGTTCAGTTCAGTCAGTTTACAGTGCTCAACACCGTAAGAGGTATGACAGACCGAGGTGAGAAGCATAAAGAAATCGTCCCAGCCGATCGATCTCGACTTGATGTGTTTTCCACGATACCAGAATCTGCAGAATCTGGCGATGACGGTCAACCAAGCAAGAGGCAGAAGAGCACATACAGCAGCTTGCTCAACTCCCGCCGGCGTACCAGTGCCGTCGAACATGATTGATCTCGATTTATTGTTGTAAGATTAGTGCATGACGGAACCCTTCTGGAGTCAAGCAGCAGGAAGTGATCATTTAAGGGAAGCGGACACTGCACATCTGCTGACTTACCCATTCAGGACAGTCACCTTCGCATACACTGCGGCTTTAATGGCGTTGGGGTATGGTAAATGTCGACATGACATTAACAGATGGCCCAGTTGCCAGTCTTGGGAGAGCCATGCCGAATCCTTTAAAAGCCGTGTGAATGGTAGTTGGCGCCAGTAGTGATACAAGGCAACTAGATCCAGAAACATCGGATGTCGATATAGAGCTGATCGGCCGCAGAAGCTCTCGCCAATAGCATAGACTCCCCACCGTGTTACGACTCAGATAAGCAAGATATGTTCAAACACACGTATGCACTTCGTTGATCCGAGGAGCAGATTGTGGTTTGAATGCTCTCCTAGCTCTTTGGACATAGCAATACAGGACTCTTACAAGTAGAGACTTGTGAAAGATAGCATAGCAGTGCGATCGGAAGGACAAGCGAACCTAAGACAGGTGTTCTTTTCTTAGCATATTGAAGGCGATATTGCCAGCAGACCGGGCCTGGCTCGACCGCCAGAGAAGCAAGAGAAACGACCGCGGTGGGAAGTCGATTCGAAATTCCCGAATTCCTCTCTGACAATATATTCGCTTCATATTGTAGCGCTGAGAGGGCAAGAAGTAGTATGATGCATACTCTTGGACTTCAAGGTCAAGCTTGGTAAGTTCTTGGGGAGATACGAAGTGAAAGCCACAAGAGGAGCCTCGTAAGGCTGCAGGTACAAGTGAGGCAAGGCAACAAATTGGCACGGGCCGCCAAGACTCAGTCAAATTTCTTCCACCCAAATGCCATTCCTTTCGCACCTCCAAACATTCTTCCATCACTCAATGAGCTCCAGATCTTCACTCCATTCAACCCTTTATGAACTGTGATACTCGCACTAATCCGCATGCCGCGGCTGGTACCTTTCTGCACCACTAGATCACCGCAGAATTTTGTCGACTGGCGTGAACGCCGCAGACAAAACGCGCGGCCTTACTGGCTACGTTGACAGGTGGCGAATGAACTTGTCGAGTTTACCGCTCGAATCACCCTCAAGAAACTGTAGGATCACCTTTCTGCCTTTCCAGCTGAAGGCATTGTCGTTCAACAAAGAAAATGGTAAGTCGAACCCCTCCCCCCTCACATTCCCTTCATGAATAACACCAATTCCACATGAGGATAAATCATACAAAAGTACAGAATTTTTCAAAATATGTTGTTCTTTTTCTTACACATTCTGATCTCCGCCTTTGTATATATGATTTGCTCGTTTGTTTTGACCAGATCATTTTTGACTGACGGATATCATCAGGTGCGGAATCTCTGGGATCTGTGCACATGCTGCTGCACCATAGAATGCTGAATACAATCACATAGGGCTGAAACCCAATTGATGTTTGCTGTTTGCTGCGTACACGACAAAGTCCCGTGCTATATATATGCCACTTCTGCATCTCTCTGGTAGGACGTACTCACTTACTGACAACAAGCTCATGTCCAGGAACGTCGGCAAGGCTCGCTCTGAGGTGAACGGTTCGTGTGACCACCCCTCTCCCGACTCTCAGATCCGTTGCCTTCCATGCAAACGCCTCGAACACCACTACCCACAGCACGCTCAGTCGCATTCTGACAGCTCCTTGAATTAATCCGCTCAACAAACCGCTGATTCGTCAATTCAAATGCACTGTTCCTGAATGCGATTTGTCCCAGTAGCATGGAGTGTCTCACAGTCGAACAAGGGCCTACACCCACATTGGGGAAAAGTGCGTCGTAATCTGGTCTTAACATGAGACACACACAACACAATTATCACAATCAGACGACGTAGTGAATTACCACACGGACTGCTATTGCGGTGGAGTGGGATGATGGACAGCAGTGTTAGCCAACGTGAAGGCTTAGTCCGCGCGTTTTGTTAGTGAAATATCTCATATGATAGGGCAATGCAATACCTGTGAATACATCCAAATGAGTTCCCTCGCGCGAGCACATACCACCACCACATCCGAAACGCAAAAAAGTCAGCAGTAACGACTGTATATTCAAGATAAACACTACCCCCAACAAAGCACCCAACCAGCAATCCCAACACATCCCCCAAACCCTCTCCCAACCTAGATTCAAAATCCAATCTCCATCCTCCCCCAATCGTTGCTATACACCACCCACCACTCCAAATCTCACCATAACATCCCAATCCAAGATTCCCCGACGTAGTAGTAATCCCACCACAACCATCTACAAAAACGACGCAGTCGGAGTAGGCTGAGGCCTCGGCGGCCTCGGTCCAGGTGTCCCACTCGGGGGAGGAGGCGGTGGTCTGGAGAAGCTGGGAGGGGGCGCACGACGGGCCAGGCCAGAAGGAGGTGGGGGTCTAGGTGGGGGAGTCTATTCGCAGAAAGTGTTAAAGTCTCGATATGGTACGGACTGAGTGAGAGAGACTAGAGGGGACAAGACAAGACAAGACAAGACATGAGAAAGGGGAGAGAGAGAGAGGGGGGGGACATACACCCGAGGGACGTGGAGGAGGGGGAAAGGGAGGAGGAGTCTGGTGTATGTGCTGTTAGTCTTTTGTGTAATGTAGATGCGGAGAGAGTGCAGGACGAACGCCGGATGGAGGTGGTGGTGGGGGGCGAGTGAAGGTCTGGATAGTGGATTAGACTAGACATGAGCGAATACATGCGCCGAGATGCCTTACTGGGAAGTTTGGGGGAAGCTTAGGGAGGCGGGAAGCAGCCTGTGAAGCAATCAGTCTGAGAAGTTAGTATACCTTATCGAGTGTATGTGCGACTGACTTCGACGGGGATGGCAGCGACGGCGCCAATGGCGGCGAAGGCTAGGAACAGAGCCTTGATTGCGACCATGGTCGATCACAGATGGATAGCGTAGATAGCGAAAGACTGGAGATTGTAGGACTTGGTTGCTAGTGAGGTATTTCGAAAGACGCGAAATGTTGTTGTTTTTATACTTGGATGTCTGCTCTTGTCTTCGTCGAGTGTGCCATCGCGGTGTACGAGTGATGCAACATAACAGCTACTGGTTACGGAATGCGTTTCCGGACTTGCTGTATCGGTGTATATTGTTCCGTGCCAAAGGTTTATTACAAGTGATAGTAGGGTCGACGCCGGACAGCGCGAATATATCTCGGAGTCTAGCTATAGCTTCATGGAGAAGGCCAGAGTACTTAATCTTGTGGGATCTTCGCATCTTGCCCGGTGAAGATAAAGTGGTGGCTTATGAAGTCGAATCGGAGCAGAATGTAGAAATGTGGTGCAACATGAGTACCACTGGAACGGTGTTGATGAGAACACAGACAGGGTCAAAGGATATACTGTCGGGTACTCCTATCGTAGATCCCCTCACCCATGCTCGAACGTGGGAAGAAATTCACCGTCATCCTAGTATGTGCATTGAACTTCTTCAATTTTGGCTCGAACCTACCCAGCATCAGCAGCTGTCCGAGAGCTTGATGTTGAACAACACTATCGCAGATCATCACGGTTGTCTTTGAGTTCGCAACGGATATCAAGTGTTGCTTTGGACTAGGGTAAGTCTGGGATTGATGCTCTGGTTCATGCGCCGGGCGCCTCGCAATTACCAGAATCTGATCCTGCTCTCGTTACATTGACGCCTACCTGTGATGATACTAGTATATGATTTTTCATATAGGAAGCCCACGTTGAGACTGGAACGCTTACTGAAAAGTATGCCACGCGGTAGGCCTGAAGTTCGGATCAGTATGTAGTATAGAGTGGGGACGCGTAAGTCAATCAAGCTTCTTGTGTTTGCAAGGCTTGACCATGGGGCATTGACTTGAAATTGTATCGCCGTATTAAACTAGATGATCTATCTGCGCTAATTCCAAAGAGGCTGAAGAATTGACGTGATGCCGGGGAATGCAGAAAATGCTTGTAGTTATAGTCTTGGTCTGGCAGGACCTAACGTGGCGAATAAACGATACCCCTGGTGTGGTCAGGGGTACAGCAAAGTCTGAGACGTGTGTAAAGTTTCTTGCGACTAGGATGTTAACGAACCTAGGTCATCACGATGATACTGTAAATGATCTTGAATCGTCAGCATATGTGGCACGGATAGCGGTTTGTTCCGTGTGTTGCAATTTATGGCCATAGTCAAGGAAGATGGTTATGTCAATGGTCGCGCTAGTCAATGTGTTGTTAATGGTAATGCTATTGCCCTTATGTTCTTATATTCATTGCTTTCGACGCCTTCGTTCTACAGATAGGCTACTCGTTGTCGTAACTCATGTCTTTTCAATCCAGTCCCTAGCCACTCTCCAACATCCGTCCATGCGATCTTATCGTGAAGAGGTGTGCTTCGTTCAGTAGTTCTCTACTTCTTGCAAACAACTTTGGCAAGATCGGCTAGAGCTTCGCGGCGCTTGTACTTTGCATCCTCGATCACACCTATGCCATGATCAGCGATACGTAAACATACAGGATAATCCAGAGTTACTTACCAGCATCGGCATCGCTAGAGAAGTTTCCCGACCATTGAACAAAGGTCTGACCTTCGTGCGTTCCAGAAGTGACAGGAAAGAGCTTGATTGTGCTGATGACGGACGAGTACGTCAATGCAGGCTGCGAGGAGATGACAGAGTAGGTGATGTAGTAGTCGATGGACTAACACATCCACAGTTAGCGATATGCTCGACGAGCCCATCACTATACATACAGAATGTGCTTCCTGCTTGACCTCCAGCTCGGTTCCATCCTTGAAAGCCCACTTGACGATGTCGGTCTCCGGGGAAGCTCCCTTGACGAATTCACTGGTGGTGAGACTAGACCAGAACTTTGAGAAGTCCTGGAGCTTGATCAAGTGCCAGACATCGCTGAACGGGGCGTCAATGACGGCTGACTCGACGACGGAGGTGGAGGTGGGGATTCGGTCAGACATTCCGCTGGCTGCTTAGATTCTGAGTGAAGTTGTTTGTTGATGCTTGAATCCAGGATTGCGTGCGAGTGAGTACCTAGCCTACACTGCACCCAGCGCCTGCTGCCCCACTACGGCGTTGTGACGTAGCTACAGGTATGAATGCTATACCTGCTAGCTAGTGCCCTACAAAGTTACAGTAGACCACACATAGTACATTAAATAGACGTTTAGTCTATATCAAGTATATATGAGATCCAAGTTTTATGCAAAATTTGGAATATCGACTTAGCTCTATGATAATTCTATCTACCTCAGAGCGATAGATAGGTATTCAACACTACTACTTTAAGCTTAGATCATTGTAGGGCTCCTCTAACCGAATTCGGCCTAGTAGTTGATGCGGGCGTTTCTAGTCGGAATGGCATTCATAAAATAGATCCTGATAGACGCGTAGTCTCGGTATATCCATCATATCTGACTCATCGCAGAACGCGTACAGTAAGACCACATTCGGGTCCGACTAGAGACCTCACATATCTACTGCAGAGTCGACTTTTCAGATTCGGATGCGAAAGTGCATCGGCAGTCGGGGCGTCGGGCACTTCTATCTCCCGCGATCAAGCCACAATGTGGCGAATCCACAAGTAAACACCAGGCTTACGCACCGTAGAAGCCTGTCGACGTCCATGTCAGTCAGCAACCACCAAAGACAAAACATGATTTTCTTTCAGGAATGCAGTAGAACGTTCCGCGGTCGACTATTTCCCGCTTAACAATACAGGCTTCTCGGGGCCTCGAGGGGCGGTTGGCTGTGGTGCTGGAATGGTGACTGGTCTCTGAAGTCGCCTCCGTGTGAGTGTGTGAGTGTGTGTGCGTACGCGTCCATTCTGCCTGGATCTAGGTAGGGATATATATATATTGCTCTTTCTTCTGCTTTGTGTATCTCGTTCTTTGTCCATCATCAACAATCACTTCTCTCACTCACCTACATACATCTATCTCAACCAAGTCATCGGAATCACAACAACACAAACATGCCCTCCATCCAATACCTCAACCAAACTGCCCCGTTCTGGGACTTCATCGCCAACATGGAAGAGCAAGGCTCGCAGCACCCGTTCTTCAATGCCCAACGAGGCCGTCACGAAGGCGGACAGCAACACCCTTTCGCCTGGGGCTTCGGCGGTCCTCGCGCATTCCACCACGGCCCGCCTCCCCCCCCAGGTCCCGGCAACGCAGACTACATCCCACCACCTCCTCCTCCTCCACCGCCTCGCGGCGCAGAAGGCATTCCACCACCTCCAGACGCCCCCCAACACGGCCCCTTGCCTCACCACCCACACCCACACCCACACTCCCACCCACGCGGTGGCTGCCACGGCCGACGGGGCCACGGCTTCGGCGGACGAGGAGGACGCGGCGGTCCATTCGGCGGCTTCCCCATGGGCGGCCTGGGCGCATGGCTAAACAGCTTGGCCGACGACGAGAACACAAACGGCAACACGCGTGAGGCCACCGCGCAGGAAGACTTCGAGCCCGAGGCCGACGTGTTCGACACCGAGGCCTCCTTCGTCGTGCACGTCTCCCTTGCCGGCGCCAAGAAGGAAGACGTCGGCGTCAGCTGGGACGCCGAGAAGTCCGAGTTGAGCATCGCGGGCGTCATCCATCGGCCTGGTGACGAGGACTTTGTCAAGACGCTGGCCTTGAATGAGAGGCGTGTTGGCGCGTTTGAAAGGAAGGTGCGATTGGGGAGCAGGGCGAACCCGGCGCCTGTGGACGCGGATATGATTACTGCGAAGCTCGAGGATGGGATCCTGAGAGTTGATGTGCCGAAGTTGGATAAGGACTATGTCGAGATCAAGAAGGTCGATATCGCATAGACGACCTGATCAGAGCACAGCGCTGGAGGATGGTGTTTTGGAGTCTGGACATACCCATGTAGGGTCGGAGCGATTATATAACAAATAAATAAAAGAAAAAAAATTTTGGTCATTTCTCGAATAGTAACTGATTCGTTGCTGTCCTCGTGTACACTACATGTTTGAATTCATGCCGTGGGGAGAAAAGGTAGAGTATTGTCTGCATACCTGGTAAAAGGCCAGTTGTCTGAGACGAAACTCTCTTCGTAACTGTGACCATGACAAGGTCAGGTCGATCTCCCGATCTATGGTGACTGAAAGTACGAAGGCTGTTTTCGTCTATACAATGCTATGTACTTATTCCTATGTTGGTTCAATAGCACTGCAGTCATTCCATGCACTACGCATGGCAAATAGATTTTGCGACGTGCCTGTCGAGCGCGTTTACCCTTGCGAGGTTGAGAAACGCTCGGGAAAGCCGATATTCACATTTCAGTGGTGTGGTAGCCGCGATTGATGGCGTTCTGGTGTAAGAGCAGAAATAGGATGCCGGTTGTGTGGCAATGATATGCATGTATTCAGCATGTACAGTACTGCTGATAGCCCGGTCATGGGTCTGTCATGATATAAATACTTCAGATCTAGGCCTTGCGCAGAACGGAGAAAGCAGTTCATGCCGACGATGAGGCTTCGTTTTTCTAATGCGAGATATGCTGGCTGGCGCACAGTTTTGTGCTGTACAAGATGTATTCAATGAGTGTGTTGTGATATAATCAAAGCGCTGCTAATAAAACAGAGTGATTCGAACAAGGATCAAATGTCGTTCTCGGTGTCCATGTCGTTATCCTTCCAGTCATCGGCCTTGAAAAAGGTCGCTTCCTCAAAGTCGACCCCATCGTTGGGTGGTGGTGTGAAATTGAAACTGTGTAGCGTTGATTGTTGCTGCGCGAGTCGCGGGCTGCGACGGCGACCTAGTTTGGGCCGTGCAAATGCTCGTGACGAGTGTGTTTGCGGCTGAGGGAAGGGTAGTCCGAGATCCTCGTCGTCATCTACTTGCAACGCGCGTTTTGACGAGCGCTTCGTGGTGTTCATGTTTGCGTTCGCATTTGAGAAAGAGGGCTGGAGGATTGGGTTGCGCGCCGGCATGCTATCCGTGGAAAGATTACTGGCTGATGATATATTGGACTCTTGCGAGGAGAACGGAAAGTCAAGAGGGTCGGCCGATTGCAAATTTACTCCGCTTGCGTCTACGGGAATATAGTCGCTGCCGAGTCCCGATGTGCTGTACGTTCGCTCCTGCGGGCCGTATCCACCAACGTTGAGCAAGCCACAATATGGCTGTAATTCCGCAGGTCGCGCGGCACTGACCGTGCTTGGGGCATCTGGAAGTCTTACGTCGGTCGAACGGACGTCATGAAAGCCGAGCTTATGTGTTTTGTAGCCTTCTGGGACGGATTTGCGCACTCTCATGCCAACGGTGAGAAGATTGGACTGGATGGAGGCTGGGAGGGCTGGGGCGAGCCCTTCACGGTCGGATACCACCTGGCCAGGCGACGATGACTCTGATGAGGGGGCATTGCGGAAGAACGTGTCGAGAGAAGTTTGATTCGAAGGAAGAAATGCTCGCTTTTGTCGATGCGAGGACGGCGTCGAAGAAGGCATTGTGTTGACGAATAGTAGCGTTCGCAGCAAGATGGGAAGCAGAATTTCGATGGCAGAAACAGAGAAGGCAACCTGAATGGAGTGGAGATTTATGACATGAAAGGAAGAGAGAACAGAGGAAAGGTGGGGTATAGTGATAGAGAGGTTGACGTTGACGTTGACGTTGAGGGTGTTAGGGGCATTCGGGGTGCAGAGAAATGAAGACGCGTTGCGCGAACGGACGCGTCTGAGCGTGTTCTTGGCAACTAGTCTGTTTCGGGTATAGAGCGGCTGGAATAACGTCCTGCTCTTTCACAGCCTCTCCTGCACCCTCATACATATACATTTATATCTCTTTCCCATACTCGTGAAGGGAGCTATAGACACTTGATTGTATAAACACGATCCGGCCAGATCACCTCAACGATCATGCACGCATTTGTAGACTCACCAGCGCACGAAGTCGCAAGTGTGTGTGGGTATGTATGGAATTATGGCAGGCTTGCTTTGTTTCTTTCATGCTCATTCCTATCCATGTTCTACTTCTCTCATTCATTTTCCTTTTTGATAATGGTATCTGCGTGCAGACCTCATCCATTCACTGGTTGTCTATCGTGTTTCTCTCAAAGCTGCGATGAGCTGTGACTGCTTGCGACGCTCCGACTTCAGTACCCCGATTAGTCTAAGTCTTGCTCTTTTCAACCTTCATCTATACCCAATCAAAGCGCTTTCTGCAAGACTCATCAAGGCCATAGACTTTATACATTAGGCAAGAGCACGGATCGTTTATACGAAGTTTGAATGAATAAAAGTTCACGCAACTACAATCATATTATTTTCCTTTCCTAACATCAGACGAACATTCGATTGATAATCCATCTGCTAGAAATGAGTCTGATCGCACTGGGTATGGACAAAACCCGTTTCACATTGCTTGTGTGCTCAATCAAAGGACTACCATCTGCTCCGCCTACCGCATATGTTTCTTTGACGTTGTTCTCGTTATGCATGAACGAGTGTGCATCTCAAGTCACCCCCTCGCTTTGTATTCACTGGGGCTCTTTATTTTTGGGTGTCCTCAGCACAACGTACGCATGCCTTTCACTCGCCTTGACTTCATTGTCAGGCACAAAGCCAGTCCATCAGGACCATTGTTTCGTCTCCGGCGCATGTTCTGAATAAGCTCGAGTCACAAGGAACAGAGAGCAGCGCGCCTATATACAGTGTGTTCCTCGTCCCTTTCCCCTCACTCTTGCAGCACAACTCCCTACACTATTCAAACATGAGCACCCAGCTTCAGCATCATTCCCAAGATCACACCATGTCCAACAGAGTACCGACTCCACAACTGCAGTATGTCGTCCCGTACGAGCGCTCTGACTCCGGATATTGCTCTCGCTACGCTACGCCAGAGCGGGACTCGACCACTTCGCCGACCCCTGATGGTCAGAGCTTCGAGCAAATCGTCCGTGGCAGCGATGCAGTCTCGCGCTTCACATACACGAAGCCACGGCACACTCTACCACAGCAAGCCATGCCGCGCTCGCACTACCAGCCGCCGGTGCAGCTCGATCCTCAAGACATGACCATGCATCCTCAGCAGTGGTCAATCCCGTTTTCACAACAACCGAACAGTCACGCCAAATTGTCTGATCCAGCCATCGACCCCCAGATCCTTGGAGACTCATACCAGCTCCTGCACGACTCCCCACAGGAACAGTATGCCGAACTGCCCCAGCAACAGCATCAGCAATACGCCGAGCTTCCCCAGCATCATCAATACGGCGCCTATCCTGCTCCGCAAGACTCTCAATGGCTCCCATCCCACATGGACGACCTGTCGAACGTGCGCACATACCACGGCCAAGACAGCAGGACGAGCTACGAGCAGCCATATCCAGGACTCTACAGCGAGCTCCCGCCCCCATACGACCAGCAGACAAACTACATGTCCGCCAACGTCAACCACAGAATGTACCACCCTCCATACCACCACCAAAAGCAATCCATCGCCCACGATCCCGACAACGAAGAAGACGAAGCCGAAGCAGAAGACACGCCCGAAACCCGCATCCTCAAGCCCCAAAAGTCCAAGCACCAGCCCTGGGTGCGCGTCAACGGCAAAACCCAAGGCGGCAACCGGACCAAGAAGATCAACGCCTACAAGCAGGCCCAGAAGTACATGCACGACCAGTACATCCCGGCAAAGAACAAGCAGCTCAACGCCTGGACCTCCTCGCACGGCTTCGAATTCACCTACAACCAGTACGGCGAGCTCGCCCAACCAACCCTCTCCATCGACCAGATCCGCGACTTCCTCTACGACCACCCCTGGCGCCACCAAGCCCGCCGCATGACGCTCTGGATCCAGAAAGTCGCCGCCGACTCCGCGCGCCGCTACCCGACCCGCGAGTCCGACCACTGCCGCTTCGCAGACTGCCCTTCGCAGGTCAAGGGCAAGGGCACAATGCTCCACGGCCACTACCGCGTCGCCTTTGACGAGCACTGGAACTCGCACGGCGAGGCCGCAGACCCGTTCCTCGTCGCCGGCTTCGTCCACCTCGACTGCCTCGAGCGCTTCCTCGACCTGCCCGACCTCTGCCGCACCCTCGACGTCCGCGCCGACGGCCGGCTCAAGCTCAGAAACGAGCCCAAGGCCAAGTACCGCGCCGCCTTTGACCACACCGACAAAGCCACCCACGCCGAAGCCCTCTCCTTTCTCGAGACCATCAAATCCAACACCAACAACCCCCCCTCCTACCCAGGCCCCATCCCCCTGCCCCTCTACCGCACCTCCTGGTCCTGGCCCCACGAACTCGCCCGCCACACCCACACCCTCACCGCCCGCCTCTCCGCCGCCAAACTCGCGCACGACCGCCCGCGCGCCCAAATCTCCCAGTTCGAAAAGCGCCTCGACGCAGACCGCGCTGACCGTGTCGCTGCGGGCCTCGACCCGCATTCCAACGCCGACTTTTCGAATTGTCTCTTGCATCAGGGGAGTATTTGGCTGTATCAGGAGGCGCAGGAGGTGCGGAGGGCGGAGGAGGGCGATGTGCGGCTTGGGCGTGTGAGGCAGGCGAGGCGGGATAGGGAGAATGCGGGGAGGGGGGGGAAGAAAGGTGTTGATGAAGTCGATGTACCCACCACCCCTGAAGACGACGACACCGACACCGACACCGACGACGAAGAAGAAGAAGAAGAAGAGCAAACAACCTCCGACCCACCCACCCGCTCTCTCCGCAGCGCCGCCGGCCTGCGCGCGACGCAAAAGTCCTACAGCGAGCCCGACGAGGATGACATTGACGGTGTCTCGGCAGAGTCTGGCGATGGTATTGACGACAAGGTGGGATCTGTGGGGCAACAGGTGCGTAAGCGCCGTCTTGCGGCTGTCGATGAGGTGGAGGATGCGGATTCGGATGAGGAGTTTGATCCGCGGGCGTGTTTGGGTGGGGGGAGGGGGGGGAAGAGGAGGAGGGGGGGGCGGTAGGGGGGATGGGATGGGACTTGGAGGGGAGATGGGGAGTTGGAGGGGGTGTGGTATGTGGCATGTCTTGTTTGTGAGGTGGTTGGATCGTAGGTGCGTTGGATGGAAGATTGGATGGAAGATTGGATGGATGAATGTATGGATTAAGGAGTAGCTTGGACGAACACCAAGCTTAGACGAACAAATCACCATATGCTCACCTCGAACAAGCACGGAAATCAAACACAACAACAAAACACCCTACTCCGCACACCCTACTCCGCACACAGCACGAGGTAGGCAGGTAGGTAGGTAGGCAGGCAGGCAGGCAGAGCAGGCAGAGCAGACAGAGCAGACACAGCAGTCAGTCTCATCGCAAGCTACTAGTATTAGAGCGGCGTCTGGCTATTCTATACCAGACAGACACACTCTACTTCCATTCAACTGCTCCGCTTGTTGTCTAGTTAGTCTTTTTTGTCGTTTTTTTTTTATCTTAATTAGTTAGTGTCTTGTGTGTTTTTTGGGGTTTTTGAGCATAATCTCGTTTTGTCTTGTATCTGAGCATGAATTCGTCTTGGCTCGTCTTGTCTTTTGATGGTCCTTCATGCTTATATCTGCGCTTGTCTTTTTGTCTTTTTGTCTTATAGTCTTATAGTCTTCTCTAATCGTCAAACTCTCTCTCTCTCTCTCTCTCTCTCTCTCTCTCTCTCTCTCTCTCTCTCTCTCTCTCCCTCCCTCCCTCTCTCTCTCACACACACACATCCATACGCACACAGACATCCACAGAAGAACAGGCCTAATTATCAATTGTTGAAGATTTGTAAATCGCCCAGTAGAGAGGTAAGTCGCTCGCTACAGCTATGCCCGGATCCCGGATCCCGAGAGAAAGACACACACTTCTACGCTCATCGCTCATGCAATGCAATGCAATGCAATGCAATGCAATTCATGAGGATAATATTGCCCACGCCAATCGAGGAGCCGGCAATAAGTGGTCAAGCAAGAAGACGACTCCTCAACGGCAACGGCAACGGCAACGTCACGAACCGCCAGCACAAGTCCGACCACGGCGCAAATCATAAAACAGCTTTTTGTCTAGTCTCGTTGACATCGTACAAGTGTGTGTCCCAAACGCCAGGTCCCGCGCCATGCATACCATACTAGCCAAATCCAAAAAAAACCGTATAGGGTTGGGGGGTTTGAGGGGCACAATGTAGAATTCCCACAAGGCCAGCCTGAATATATATATATATGGATGCAACATCGGGTAGAAACACGGGATAAAGTGCGCGTCATGTGTGGGAGAGTATATAACGTAACGAAACGCTTTCAACGCTGCCTGGGCTCTCGTCATCGTTGGCGTGCAGCCTTCTTCTCCTTCTCCAACCGGATCCGGTGAGCCTCGGTGCCATCGTCGGTGAGGACTTCTGAGAACCATCGGTGGTGGAGGGCCTCGTGGGCCTTGATGCGCTTTTTGGGATCATAGACAAAGATCTTCTTGAGCAGGTCAAGAAACTGACGGTTAAAGTCGGTGTGACATGGGATGGTGTCCTGGGACAAAGGGTTAGTACACAAGAACGGCAATGTGGAGCCGCTCGCACTTACATGAAGCTTCTTCATGGCTCTGACGTACTTCTTCGACGTCTTCTGGGTGTCTCCGTTCGGGTAGTCGAGCTTCATACCACGGAAGTAGCTGGGAGACATGTCAGATGGGATCGATCGAGTAGGCAACGAGGGGAGAGACATACCTTGTGGCAGGGTTGCGACTTGAACCCTTGTCAGACTTCTGCACGGCTCGAATAATGTCTTTGTCAATCTTGCCCCCACATACAGCTTCCATCATTGCCAGATGCTCGAGGTTGTCGTGCGTCTGGAACAGAGCGTCGCCCGTGAAGAACTCGACCAGAATACATCCTATACTCCAAATGTCACAAGGGAAGCTCCAGCCGAGGTTGAGGATGATTTCTGGCGCACGGTAGTGCCTGGTGGAGACAACCGACGAGTGGTACTCTTCTTGGAAAGTTGCCGATCCAAAGTCGATCAACCGAATTTCAGGATCAAGAAGGACTCGTCGGTGACGTGACGTTCGAGACGTGGAGGTTGAAGAAGAGGGGACTTGTCGGTTGTACGTGAAGGTTTGGTAGGAATTATTGACCAGAAGGATATTCTCGGGCTTGAGATCGGTGTGGATGAGATTCAAGTCGTGAAGGACTGAAACACGCGTTAGCAGGCAGGTAGTCAGGTTGGGGGGATGTTCTTGGACTAGTGCACATACAAGCTACACTTGTGAAGAGCTGCTTGGCAAACTTCTGGATGTGCGTACTCGGAAAGGGAACGAATTGGTTCGCCTTGAGAAAGTCGAAAACACTCTGGCTGTAGAGATCCGTGACAATGCAGATGTGATTGCGGAAGTCGAAGCAATGGCGAAGGTGGATACAACGATTGGCGTTGTCCTGATCGTTGGATGCCAGCGTTTTGAGGACTCTCAGTTCAATCCTAGAGGCGTCTCGGTATTTCTGTACTGATCGAATAACCTTGATGGCAACCTTCTGGCGCTCCTGCCTGTCGTAGGCTTCGACGACCTTGCCAAAGGTTCCTTGGCCTAAAAGTCTCACGATTTGATCTGAAAGGGGGAGTCAAGTCAGTACGAGAGGATGGCAGCGAAAAAGGGAAAAAAAGTGGAAGTGAGTTTCATACATCGTTGGGTAAGATCAGCGTCAGGTATGACGATATAGTGACCGTCTTCATCGTCGACCTTGTCCTTGGGATGATGCCTCTGCTTTGAAGTTAGCAAAGTGAAAAAGAAATTGCGTAGCTAGGTCTGAAACACGTACGATATCTTGCACAACCTCGACCTTGACTTCAGCCGACTTGATTGGGGGTTTGGGAGGGGCACGGTAAAGAGCCAGAGGAGCTGGATCATTGAGGTCAATTTCTCTCCGTTTGTGGGGCTTTTCAGCTTTTGCAGGAGCTCGCTTCCGCTTTTGGCCAGTAGCAACAGGAGCCATGTAGGCGGAGGTGCCGTTTGAGCCCAATGAGGTGGTAGCAGTGGTAGCTACGGCAGATCTGTCAGACGAGGCAGTGGCAGTGGTATTTGGGGAAGTGTGGTCGTAGTATGGGGTCTGGGTGGTCGAGTACGAAGTTTGTTGGTGGTAGAGGGGTTCGTATGTGGCAGTTTTTCGCTTCTTGTCGGCATGGCGCGTATTGCCGTTCGTGACTGCAGTTCGGCTTGACTGTGGCTCGGGCGAATCATCAATGACAATTACTTCTTTCGGGATGCCATTCTTGTAAAACTCATTCCAGTCTGTTTTCTTGTCTTTTGTGGAAGTCATATCGGTGGAATAATGGGGGCTTTGGATGGGAGGCAGCTGGTTCGGTCTCGAGTTTACGGTGGTGGCAGTCGTTCGGCGTAGATCAGCGGCAGCGGAGTCGAGGGTGTAGGCGTTGTAGGTGGACTGCGGATTGCGGCTCGAGACGTGAGCATTGGACGGGTTATTATGCTGATGGTATGATTGATGGTGAGCATAGTATTGGTGGTGTGGAGGCAGCTGAACGGTTTGTGTTGAGGGAGTCGACATGATGTGAGGATGTGCGGTAGGCGTGGATAGCAAATAGCGCTCGGAAGCACGGTAGCGTTGACACTCGAAACCTTACGCTCCTGGAGGCCGATGAGTATGTCGAGCTCAGTCTGTCGATATGGACGACGACAGGACGGAGTGGAGAGAGAGAGAGAGGATTGGGGGAGAAGTGTAGTCAGAGAGACATGGCCAGATTATGGAGAGAGCCAGCAGCGTGCAAAAGGTGGAGAAGGGCTTGGAGACGGAGATGATCCGCGTTACCGCCTCGAGTAGAGGAAGGGTGTGTGTGTGTGCGTGTGTGTGTGCGTATGTGTGCCGGGCAGGGTGAAGGAAGCAGTGAAAAAGAGCAGGAGCGAGTGGCAGCAGCACTGTGGGAGAGGGATAATGTGGATTGTGGAATGACACACAGTGACCAGCTGCTTGGAAAACAACAAGAGTCGACGACAGACAAGTGAGTGATGGAGACGAGGAGGCAGGACAAACGGCGACGACGACAACGACAACGACAACGACAACGACAAAACGACGACTGGGTGCGATGTCGAGAGGGTTTGGGCGGTTGATGCTAGCGCGAATCTGCTGCATTTGCGGCCTCCGCCTGGCTACGGTGGTTGAGAGTTGACACGATGAATATCTGGCTGTTTTCAATCTATTCTATTCTCATTCCATGATTCCATGCAATACAATGCCAGTTTCACACATGTCTGCTGCAGAGATATATATCAGATCTTGCCCTCCAAGAGCTGTTTCCGGAGTGTGTGTTGCAGTTGTAGCAAGACCGAGAGAGATGCAAGCCCGTGACTTTGGCCTCTAATTACTCGCTGAATGGAATCTGCCCAAGCGAGTGTATTCCTGGTTGTTTAGCTGAAAGTGTGACGAGCGGCGGCCCCGGTTTTGAGGGTACGTGCTGAACTGTGCGCTTGTCGGGAGGCGAAATACCTGCCCTGTCCAGCCGTGACCTGCCCCGACCTGCTCCGTGCTGGGCTGCCACCACCACCACTCACTCAGCAGGACCGGGGTTGCTAGTAATGATTAATTAGTCGCTTGTGGCGGCTTCAAAACCATGGCTCGTCACCGTCCCTCACACTGCCCACACGAAACACCCTATTCGCGTACAGAAAAGATGGGCTGAGAGTGAGTGATTGAGTGCGTGCAGCATGGGACTGGTGTGAACAGACAGCATCAGCGTCTGTACTGAATCTTCATCTCCATCGCGCCAGACACGCGGGTCGAGTGGTCGAGTCCGGGGAGAAATGTCGGCAATGGCTATGTGTGTGTGCTGTGTGTGCTGTATGCTGTATGCGTAGACGGTGGATGTGCAACAGGTGCGCGCAGTGGCCACGGTGCGGCCTCTTCATATATAGGTTATAGGTAGCTACTGTAGCAGTCTGACGCCCATCATCCATCGGCATCCATCATCCACTAACAAGTACTGCACGCACTGTGTTAGACTGATGGGCCTGGGATAGTCAATAAGATATGATACGTTTCTTTCCTCAGCATCCCATCCAGCACGAGCCCGGCACGAGCCTGCTTGATCGAATGGATGATGGCACACGTCTGATATAATAGCATGATACTGTCAGGAACTCGGAACACGGAACGCACGCATCAGCCTCGTTGATGATCGCTGTACCTACTTGCTACATAATACCTGCCCACCTACCCAGAATACACATACAGTAAACCCGCCCCTGATTCGGATAAACCGTGGATGGACCCTTTCTCTGCCCACACGACGTCTTACGGGTACTTACGGGGTCCATCATCCATCATCCTGCATCCAACATCCTGTCCCTCATCCATCATGTCAGGCCAACGACGTCAACAACGCCACACGCAGAACCCACAGACTACAGAGAATACAAAGAAAGAACAAAACACAGCGCACACGAACGGCGCCGGCGAACGTCGTACCTGGCTTGATTGTTCTACTGTGAATCTACTACTACTGCTGCTGCTGCTGCTGCTACTAATTACTCCTCACATCATTCATATATATCCACCTCCTCTCACTATCGCCACCAAGACGGCCAGTCAGTCCAGTCAATCCCGAGCACCGACGCTGATCTCGCCAGCCATACACACTGCTTGCAACACGCCCCACCTTCCTACCTACTACCTACTAATACCTACTACCTACTACCTACATCACCTCATCCCTCATCCCGTCCTATCTTATCCCGTTCCTTCCCGTCCAACACCATCACCACACCTCCACTACTACTATTACTACTACTACTACCACAACTACAACAGCCAACCAACCAACCAACCACCACCCTCCCCTCCTCTTTTCCTTTATTCTTTTCTTTCCCTCTCTTTCATCCATCAACACATTCCACGCCGTCGCGGCTGCTGATCCGCCGTTACTTACTTACTTACTCACTCTCTCACTCACTCACTTGCATGTACATCAGTTGCAGTACGCAGATCTAGTTCTGCACAGCATGCATTCTGTGCGTGTGAACGAGTGCGTGCGAACGTAGTCGAAGATAGACAGTCTAATCAGCGTTGCCCATATCGCTATCACGGGACGGCTACCGTGCCTACCGCAACCGTACCTGCTGAGGTCAGGCAGGTGGATAAGGAAGGTACCTAGTAGTACCTGATTACTCGACGTCATTTCCTCCTCGGGCTCTCTGTCCGTCTTCGGCACGTGATGTGATGTAATGATGTAATGTGATGTGAGATCTGGATGGCAACGTACAGTGCGGGCACGTGTCTTGTCTTGTCTTGTCAGTACTCCATAGTTTATGCCAAATCCAGTAATGTATGGGATGATGTGGCTGTGATGTGCGTATGCAGTGGCTGGTACAGTCTATGAAGAAGTCACATCGTAGCAAGAGATATACATCTCATATCTGCATCCACGCACCCATCACTCACTCACCACCACCACCACCACCCCCAAACTCCCCCTCCAACCCCCCAAAAAACCCCTCCACAACCCTCCCAACCCCCTCCACAATCTCCCCCACAACCCCCTCATCAACATTAAACGCCGGACAAACAAGCACATGATCCCCCCTCACCCCATCCACACACCCCGTCCCAGGATACAAACTAATCCCAAACCCCTCCCTCATCCCCAACTCATGCACCCGTCTCGCCACACCCACCTCCGGCCGAAACGCCCTCTTCCCCTCCTTATCAGCCACAAACTCAATGCCCCAGAACAAACCCCTCCCCCTAATATCCCCGACATGCGGATGCGCACCGAGCCGCGCGCGCAGCCCACGGCCCAACAAATCGCCCATGCGCGCAACATTCGCAACGAGGTGCTCTGCGCGCACGACGCGCTGGACCGCAGCCGCGGCGGCGCATGCGACCGGGTGCGCCTGGTATGTCTGGCCGTGGCTGAAGGAGGCGGAGCCGGAGCGGAGGGTGTCGACGACGCGGTGGGAGAGGAGGAGGGCGGCGATGGGCTGGTAGCCGCCGGCGAGGGATTTGCCGATGGTTTGGATGTCGGGGGTGGTGGCGATGGAGGGGTGTTGCCAGGCGTGGAGGGTGCCGGTGCGGCCCATGCCGCACATGATTTCGTCGAGGATGAGGAGGGCGCCGTGGGTGCGGCAGATTTGGAATATCAGGGGGAAGTAGAGGGCCGGGGCGGGGACGCAGCCGAGGGCCTGGTGTGGTGGTTTGGTGAGTTTGTGTTTGTAGGTATTTTGGGTGGAGGTCTGGGGTTGGGAAAGGGGTAGGAGAGAGGAGATGGAAAGGGGTCGGGAGGATGGAACGAAAAACAAGACTCACAGCTCCGACGACCGGCTCGGCTACAAAGGCGCACACATTCCCCGGTCCAACCCTCTGAAACTCTTCGTCCAGTTCCTTGGCCAGTCGCTTGACGTACGCGACTTCGTCCTCGCCGTCACGCATCCCGCGGTACACGTTACATTCAGACACGTGCGAGATGTTCGTACCAAGTAAAGGCTCGTACAGCGCCCGCCGCGCAACATGACCACCTAGAGAAAGCGCACCCAGCGTGGTGCCGTGGTAGCTCTGCTTGCGGGCGATGAAGCGCGTGCGATTCGGCTGAGGGGGCGACAGCTCGAGGAAATACTGCCGGGCCATTTTCATCGCTGCTTCCATCGCCTCTGAGCCTACAGATTTGTCAGCTGGCAATGCTCGCTGTGAACTATTACAGGGGATAACGCGGGAACAGACCTGAGGATACGATGAATGCCTTCGCCATCTCCCCGTTCGTGCCTTCTATCAGCTCGTGTGCGAGGGCCTCGCCGCCGTTGGTGCCGAAGAATAGCGAATGGCAGTATGCGACTTCGTCCAGCTGGGCGTTGATGGCCTGCTTGATGCGCTCGTCGCCGTGGCCTAGGCAGGATACTGCGGCCCCGCCCGTGGCATCGAGGATCTTCTGACCGTTGCTCGTGTACAGGTAGTTTCCAGACGCACGGATGACGGTGATGGGGTCTTCGTGGAGAGATCTGTGGAGGACGGCGCTTGGTTTTGCGGGCTCTGGTGATTCTGTCTCGGCATGGCCGTTGGAGAGTTTGTCCTTTACGGAATGTCCATTCTTACTTCCGTTCTGCTTGTCCGTCAGGAGGCGTTTGGCATCCGGCTCAGAGCTGTGCTCATCATGGTCGATGAGACTACGCTTCTGGACCGTTGGTCCGTTCTTGGAATCGTGTCCGTTTGTGGTGGTTGGACTGACGACAACATTGCCGTCGTTGATCAGTGCTGGAGACATGCTGACGGCAGAATAAGGTGTGAAGGGTCTTCAGTTCGCAAGAATCATCGACCAAAGTGTATGACTACTGACTTGAAGCTGGAAGCACCAGTCTTCAAATAACATGGCCGAGACGGTGGCCTGACGGGACAGTTCTTATCTCCTTCCAGAGTCGTCAGTCTTTACAGATACGTAGCCAATTGAACTCGGTACCGGTGCTAGGATACTCGGCATGCCGAGAAACAACACGCACGGCCGAAGCTAGAAGACTTCAGATACATAGAAAAGACGTCAGCAGATGATTCTGATGCATCTGAAGGGGGGGAAAAGCGCATATCAATGACGACACTCTGGATAGCTCCGCTGTAGAACATGGCATCCTCAATAATGCCAGGGTCTGGGAAGGACAGAGATATCCCGCTGAGTGAGAAAGTTGGACAATAGGCGCAAAGAGACAAAGAAAGATAGGTCTGCTATCTTTGGGACACGGAAGAAGTACTACACACCCCCTGGGCATCGTGAGTGAGTGAGAAAGCAACGAATTAACCATCTGGACTGCCCATCACAATCCTCGTCACCTGTCTTTCCTTCTTGACGGCTTTGCGTAGTGCATGCAGGTCATCCTGGACCGCCATGCACCTTCGATCCTTTGTACGTCTCATACTAGGAATTGCCTTGTGTGTACTAGTCACTCGTGTTCCCCCCGATCATCAGCTTCGCATGGACTACAGCTGCAATGCTACAAGCGCGTGGGCATGGCGCGTCATGCTGGCCCGTCGGGATCTTGTACACGGTGGTATTCGTCTACGCTTGCAACATTACTTATTGACGGGTCGGTAGTGAGCCTTGTCAGTGACGGAGAGGCCGATGGACATGGGAATACGTCTGGCACGGAGAGGGTTGTTTGACGTGTTGACAAGACAACTTGGCGTGCACAGGCCAACCTCAGGAGACAATGCCAGACGCCTCATCCTGCGCTAGTCTCCGTCGACGGTCCATCCTCGGCGGCTTAGAGGGGCATCCATAATTAGCGGACACCAATCATTTCCCCACAGATGCTCGAAAGTTGACATCTTTTCGGATATGGGAATAGTTGCCAAATCAACCACGGTACAGGAAGAAATAATAAACCCAAAATCCACCGCCAATTGAACCACGACCGATCTGCCCCCCTCCTCCAGCCTCCTGCGCTCACACGACTACACATCAACCACCACTGTCCGCACGAAAGAAAACCACAATCATGTCTCACGCCCGCGTAGAAGAGGTCTCAGACAGCGACCCCGACGAGATGGACATCGCCGACTTCGATCCCCGCGGCGCCATCCTGCAACCCGCCTCACTCCCAAACCCATCAAGCTCAAGCTTAAGCTCTGGCCCGTCATTCGCACAACCGCCCATGCAAGCACAAGCACAGTTCCGGCCCGACGCCGCGCGCGAAGCCGAACAAGCCGCCCGCAGCAAGAACTGGCAATGTATATACCCGGTCTACTTTGACGCGAGCCGGACGCGCGCCGAGGGCAGACGGGTGGGCAAGAACCGGGCGGTGCAGAACCCGCTGGCGCGAGAGCTGATTGATGCGTTGCAGGTGCAGGCGCCTGGTCTGGAGATTGTGTTTGAGCCGGGCAAGATTCATCCTAAGGACTGGGCGAATCCGGGGAGGGTGAGGGTCTGCGTGAAGCAGGAGGGGAAGTCGGTGGTGCGAGGCGTGCAGAACAGTGCGTATACCCTCTAACTATGGTCATGACAGTTTTCAGGACTCTCTCGACGTTGGATTACCTGCTGACTGGTCCCTGCCTAGAACACCACCTCTACAACCTCATCTCGGATTACCTATTACTGCACCCCACCGAACCAGAAACTCCGCTTCGCCTCCGCATACAAGGCCTACCGGCGCCCAAGGGTGCACCGCCACCACCAGCCGTGCCTCGCGGCTGGAAGATGAACACAATCCTACCACTGCATTCACCAGCAGTCACTGGTGGCGGCATAAGCGAGAACTTCCTAAAAGACATGATGGCAGAGATGCAAGGCGAAGCGCCCGGCAGTGGAAACGCAAGCGGGAGCGAAGCGCCAGCCGGGAAGAAGAAGAAGGATAAAAAGAAGAAGTGATGCAGCGCGTTGTAGAGTACTGAATCATATCACAGCTCCGAGAGCTATCAGCTCATGAGGCAGAATGCTGCTCGAAGCGTCGAGCCAACCAAGCGGCCCGCTTGGCAGCATGATATACAGACCCATATTTACATATACATGCTCGACCAGCAAAGCCGTAGCTCTCTACATGAGAATGAAGGACGAGCCACTTCAAGCCTCAAGCACTCCAGCTCCGTTTCGTTGAGTCCATCTTCCACTCTCGCGCTCAGACCCAGCTCGATGTCCACCATCACAAACGAACACGTTTCCTCAAAATCTTTGCTCCATTCTGCATCCGCCTCCCTTCCCTTTCCCTTGTAAACCCAAAGCTCCAGAACTCCTGGCCCGGCGCTCAAATGCATCGATCTTCAGAACAAGCTATTGCGTATATCCCTTCACTCATCCAACCATCCAACCATCCAACCATCCACCCAACCTAACATCCAAGACACTCTGCAATACCACATCTCCACGATACACGTGAACCTTCTCATCACTCCCCATCCCCCTCGTCATCTACACACCCACACCACACCTACTCCACACACA